TAAAACACTTTTAACGGTTAGAAATGCGAAATATACTCGTTAACTTATTTAACTACAGCTGCCTTTTCAAATGCTTTGCATCAGCATCGGTTCTTTATGTGAAATCTACTACGCTAGCGCCACCTGCTGGGTCCGTACAGAACTAATTCACGATGCCCTCTCGCCCGAAAACGCCTGGCCGTAATCAAAGAAATTAAAAGTAAGATTAAAATTTTTTATACATATGTAAAATTCATTTATTCACGTATACGTGAATACGTGAATGTAGTTAAGTAAATAAAACCAGGGCCCATATCATTAAATTAAATTAGTTAATATCCTTAAATTAAACACGCAAGTTATTTGAGATAAATAACAATAACATGTTTAATTTAAGTGATAATATATTTCGCGCTCTTTAGTGGCATAGTCTTTTAAGTGGCATATTCAAATGTGTACTACTCGCGTAAAAACAATACTTCTATTAACATGCTTTAAGCAATAAGGATAAGAGGGTACATTCTTTTAGGATAGAGGTTTTTGGTTTGAATATCGAGTGTTATATGCTGTTATGTCGAGCATGCTAACATTAATCTTACCTAAATCTTATGGAGACCTATTACACTAGTATATAGTTATGATTGTATGAAAATAGAGTAGGTTTGAAGTACTTATTTTCAGTGCACATCTTATTATCAATTCGTACCGGATCGAATATATGTCGTACTGTAGGAACATAGCTATACATACGCTGAAGTGATTTTTGTAAATAGCCAATGCGTAAATACACGTTTTAAATATGTTCAACTATCAAGGCAATGTCAACGTTTGCCCAGTGATCCTCAAAAACTTGAAGTAGTTACAAAGTAAACAATTTTTGTTTAAGTTATAAACTGTTCATAGTCTAGTAGACTTGCAGTTAACAAGAGGCAGTGAAGCATTTAGCGGAGTACTAATAATTCCGCAAAATAAAATTATTGCATTGATCTATAGTTCAACGTGCCTAACGGACATGCGCTTATACACATTTAGCATGTTCGCGTTAAAAGCAGGAAGAAACACATCTTAATGAACGCAAGTACTGTTTTAACTGTAGCAGTACATACGAGTTATTGCTTAGGCCTCATTGATTCATATTATGTGTACAGATAGAACACTAGCTGTGCTGCAGCTTCGTCTGCGTGGAATAGCAATTTTGGTCATCATAATATTTATTTTTGCTCACGACGTCGTCTTTGTCTCGTCGTTCTTGCCAGTTAATTTTATAAGATACACATTTGATGTCACGGACATTTATTTCCAGTCAAACAATTCTTAAATACAATTTCTTGGTTTCTTGAATGTTTCTCGCAGCGTTTCCTAAAGATTAATTTTCCCCTTTATTCCAATATTTCCCTCTGTTTCCTTGGGTCTTAGAGTGATATTTTATAGTGTACACAGCCCTCGTGTCGATAGCAACACTAATACTTCATAAACTTCTAATTTTAAAGACAATGAGGCCAGACTTCTTTGAAAGAAAGAAAAAAAGGAAACAGTTTTTACTTGCCACCATCATTTTTTTCATTATTTAAATAGCCGTAAAATGAAATATTTAATTTAAAAACATGAATTAAAACGAAATATAAATAATAATAATATAAATTAAAAAGTAAAACGTCGACCGAAACAGATATAATTTTGAACATGGAACATTTTAGGGATGATTTTTGTTTTTATAAACAGCCAGCTAAATACAATGTATGTACCATAGATAAACACTAAGATACACGGCCGATAAATATTATAGTACAACTCAAGCATTAATATTCTCATGTTACGAATGACTGTTACGCAATGTTATTGACTGTGATCATCTGTGCTCTGTGGTTACTTAAGTGTTTGCAAAAGGCATAAAACAATTTGAGGCATAAATGTATTGAGCATAAAATAGATTGGGCACTTCAAATGTTAACGTGTCTTCTATCTATAGAAATAAGCACTTGTATGTGTGATTTTGTGCTTTCAACCTAGCAAAGTTCCAGTGTTTAGTACAAGTCTTTTCTAGATCAGTTTAACTAATATATCGCGTCTTCGTTAAAGTGTTTTATTTAAATGTGTACTACACGCGTAAACTATATACAGTATTTAAGTCTTTTCTAGGGTTATATGAGCTTTGACTCACCGCGCTGGTCTAATGGGGATTGGTGGACATTAGCGACTCCGATCTCTAGCCTTATTCTACTGACCCAGATTTTGAACCAGAGACTTGGTGATTTAACCACTAGATGAATTAGGCAGTTTGTATTGTATTATTGACGAAAAACAACTAGAAATTGGAATACATTGGGTATTTTTTAGGGTTCCATAAAGGGCATTTGTACATTGTAATAAATAAAGAAAGGTAACCATATAAAAATGTATGTACGTACTGTTGTACACATAGTCAATGGCACGGAATTTCTCTTATACGAGTCGGACTTGGCTGGTTAATTTACGTATGTTTACCGATCGATAGTGAAAACAACATTGTAGAATAATATTTAGCAGTCTTTAACCTTTTGTAACACCGATGTGTCGTGTAAATGGTAACCAAATTATGAGTTAAAGTATTTATTGAAATTTTAATCAGTCTACTGTCAAGTATTGCTTCTTTCAATGTTAAACAAGTTTCTTGCAATTTGTTTAAATTTATTATTATTATTTAAAGACAATTTGTTTAGATCGTTTTACGAGGAATCATTCGCTTAGCTCCTATTAGTCACAGTATTATGTTTCATAACCTTAAACCTATCGCAATAAATGGTCTAACCGACACAAAAATAATTTTATAATGCAAACCAGTAGTTCCTGAGGTTAGGACGTTCAAACAAACTGTACATCTTTATAATATTCGTATAGATTGATGTCGCTACCGCTGTTACTTAGAGCACGCACTTCGCGAACGAAAGTTAGATCATGAATAAACAATATTGAGCCGCATTGATTGACAGTGAAATTATATAGCACCAACGATTCTTAATGTTAATTTCTACTTATGTAATTGTTGATGTATGTATAGAACTTATTTTTAGAATTTCTTGCTCAAACTTGAAATATCTGAAAATATGAAGTTTGTTTAGAACCTATTTTCATACTACCTAGTAGTTGTCTATTGTCAACAATAGTCAACTCGCTCTTGGCCGTTGTATTTCGTCCCTATGACTTAATTAATTGCTTATACAAAACATACAAACAGTTGGTTTCTTTACGGTTTGTTCGTAATAGTAATTAATTCTTTAATAAGATATTTTTAATATAAATAATAATTTAATACTTTAATATCGCGTGTTTGGTTAAAAACATCGTATTAATTTATTAAGTGTTAATTTTTTTAACTGTAGATAAATTGATTAACAATAGTTACGCGTTACTAGCGTCACGGTGACTTATATTATTTTTTATTGTAGAAACCGATAGACGGCCGCGATCTTCTAACCATATTACCAATTTTCCCATTTCCACTTATATACCAACATAGACTTTAGTAATCTCCTTTTAAATCTAAGGGATTTCCACAGATGCAAATCTTTGGTATCGAAAGAGGTTCTCGACCATAGAGATCTTAAATGTAGAATGTTGACTCCGATGAAATGATGTAACGAGGTTAGTCCAATGTTCCGGTCATCCGCCACGTAATTATTGCGTCAAGTTGTGTTCCACTGGCCCGGGGGCTATCTTCTTGAGTGCGATATATTTTTTACTGTTTTTGTATACAGAGAGACTATTTGAACAGTGAACTGTCCATTATTTTGCAAATTATAGTTAATTTGATTATAAGATACACTTTAAACACTTCTCTTAATACAAAATATTGAAATATTTGAAGTTTATTAAATTTTTTTTTCTTTGTTCTAATTATTTTTTATTGGGACTATTATACCAATAAAATGGCGTGTGATAAATCCACAATCCTTTACACAGGTATTATAACAAATTTACCCGTTTCCCCATTCCCCGTTTGCGGAGGTCATTGGGTTATCCAGTTTTCACTGTGTCCTCTTCCAACCATCCGGTTATTGCAAAACAAACAATATATTTTTGTTTTCTTACCATATTTCATTTAAAAACGGTTGTACAAAATAAAATATTCGATATAACATTTTATATTTCCTAAATACTTAAAATATTTATACACTATCTAGATACTAGATAGGACCCCTAGGAAAAAACGCGTAGCCATCAGCTGTTAAAGCCATATAGAGGCGTGGATGTTTGTCCGTCTGTTCGTTAGTGGGCCACACAAACAGGTTTGATGCGACCCACTTTGATAATGTTTTGCACAAGTCTCTTGAAAGTGAAAGAAGTTGTTTAAGGAAACAGTAATGACATAGTATTATCTCATTCTTATACGCAGAAAGAACTATGATAACTAATAAAATAGTTTTTAGGACAACACGGTACTAAATACAAACATTATCATTAAATGTTTTATTTTGTTTAAATATATTACGGATGAAATAAAATCTCGATTTTCTATAGTTATAATGAATCCATTAAATTGATTGAGTTTGTATAATGCTAGTAAATGTTACCTTATTTACATTTTAAATTCATTATACCTGTGTGGTTTTTATACAGTGTTGTATGGAATTAAAGTTAAATATAAAGCTGATCTGAGTCATATTATAACTTTCGTAATTATATTTTTTCTCGTGAGCGTAAAGTTTAATATTAAATGATATCCCCCAAATTTACTAGTAATTGTTCATAAAAGAAGGTACTTTAAAAGAGTTTTTGTGTCATTCTAATGAGAACATTAACTTAGACAAAGTTCACACTCTTATGACGTCAAATAATTTAATTTCCAAGTTTTAATTAGCATACGAATTGTCTTGTGTGAATATAAGAGCTGTTTAAGATATTTATCATAAAACTTATTTAAAAGGCCTTAAATAAAAAACAATTTTATTTAAACAATTGTTTATTATCCTGCTACTTATGTTATTGCTTTTTAACTAGCATACGCTATATCTAAGTTTATTTAAATAAAACCTTTTTTGCAGATGTCATGAAAATGCGCGCGAACTGATCAACAGTCAAGTGTCAAATAAATTAAAGATGGCGACGCCGGCTGTAGTAGTAGAGCGGGCCTGCAAGTTCTACGGGAATAAGAATGGCAACGATTACAAAGCAGTCCTCCAGAACTTGGACATGATCGTTGAAAGGGGCTCTATGTAAGATATATTTATTAATATTTGGTAATGGAGCGTTTAATTTATTAAAAAAAGCGATTTAAAAGACGATAACAAATGATCTTAACTAATTTTTACAGACTAAAAACATTATAGCCACTTTTGGTATATTGTTATATTACACACTACATCTATCTATACATAACACAAGAGAGATAAATTTAACTACAGTGTAAACTCCATGTAACGTCACTCTATTTAACGACAAACTCTCTTAAGCGTCGAAATTAATTGGCTTTGGTTGGTTTAGCTTGTTTTTCATACAATGTTTCTTCTCTCCATTTAACGACAACTCTCTATAACGCCATAAAATGCACAGTCCCTTCAGTGTCGCTATATAGAGTTTACACTGTATTTCTAACGTAATAAATAAAATTAAAACAAATTATAGTTTTAATTGTTATATTTCTAACTTTACGTAGTTTAATATACGTTATAAATAACATCAAAATTTACATTTACTTTTTTAACATTTTACAATATTTTTTCATAATGAAACAAATCAATATTTACATAAATTATACCTTCATTTTTTGTCATTTCGAATATATTTTAATAACTCATTTAGTAAATAACAATACTGAATCAATTTAGCGGCAAGCGCACTGATTCCCTTGCCTCTGATTATTTTTACCCAAATAAAGTGGCGTTGAAAAAGACATCAACGCACTAGCTTTAAAAAAATATTGGTTACTTGTATAAAGTATAGTGACTTTGTTATAGATATGGCCTCCTTGGTGCATCCGGTTGCGGTAAGACAACGCTACTGTCATGTATCGTGGGCAGACGACATCTGGACAGCGGGGACATCTGGGTATTGGGCGGAAAACCCGGAGAAAAGGGCAGCGGAGTGCCCGGACCACGTGTTGGATACATGCCTCAGGTACTTCTTTAATCTTTATTTCGTCTTAAGTTTTTGATTTAATGATAAACAAGCTACAGAACATAAAACCTTTGCAAATAATTAAATAAAAATAAATTATCATCGGCTCGGGTTTCAAGTAGGTACGTAAAACTAAAGTTGTCGTCGAGTCGTGTTTGTGCTAAATAAGAACAAATAAACTATAAAATATATGTCTAAACGATATAAAAGAATTCCTCTTTATAAACCGTAGTGTATTTATTGCTACAAGTGGATAATCAAGGTTGTAAACAATTCAATTATTTATTTATCTATTATAACTATTATTGCGCTGAATAAGTCATCTCAAATTCCAACATATATCTTATCTAGCATTTTATATGTAAACATAGACTACAAAGCAATCTTTAACGAGTATAGACACGTAATACACAAATATTAAATAAAGGGTTTTAACGGTTTAAAACGTGCAATATATAAGTAAATTAACGAACGCAACGTTTTGAATGCATTTTAGTAGCCGTGGGTCAGAAAAATAATATATATCGCGTTTTAAACGGTTAAAAAGGTTTTTAGTTTATTAAAATGAAATAATTAGGTATAATATAGCTATAAATCATTGAAATATATAAAAAAGTAACTAGGATTTTTGCCTTCTTGAACAATAGCACTTAATCTTTTTTTTTCTTTTTCTTTTTTTAATAATAATTCAATAAAACAAAAAAAAGAAAAAGAAGTGGCACTGAACTTGTAAATTGTGATTTTAATCTCCGCAACTTAACATTAGCGAAGGCTTTGAAGGTATATTCACACAAACCGCGAGACGTTTTGTATGTATCACACGATTTCACATGGAATTCCGTGACGCAACTGTTTAATAAATTAGATAAGAACATGCGCTAGCGCATATTTTTTCAACGTCCGTACAGGAAGTGTTACTTACCCGGTGGTGAATATTTAGAGTGAGGAAGCCTTGGGGGGGCTTACTTGCAAACTTATCGGTTGCAGTCGGTAAACCAATTTTTGTATTAAATGTACTAAATTGAGTGGTGCATTTCAATACAACGAGGGTTACTTACTTAGTAATAAAATCCTTGCTTATAAGAGTGTTTCGTACTAGAATGGTCTTGAGTTTGAATACTGAACACATACTCAGTGTTAAATACTGTCTATAGTTTACGCGAGTAGTACACATTTAAATTTACACTTTAACGGTTTAAAATGCGATATATTAGTTAAACTTATTTTTAACTTCGGCCCGATGTTAAAAATCATTTTTGTCTCCCCGTGACCACGGCTGCTGCAAAGCATTCAAAACGTTGGGCCGAAGTTAAAAATCATTTTCAAATAAGTTTAACTAATATATCGCGTTTTAAACCGTTAAAGTGTTTTATTTAAATATTACATTATTTTTCTTGTATGCCTACATTTCACTTAACTTTAATATATACTGTGTCTTACTATGACAAATTGCATATTACTAATGGCCTATAACTCGTTCACACTACAATCAATGCCTCGTTACCTCGTTACTTTGTTGTTAATTGTTATCTTTTTTATACAGTAAAACCTCAAGCAATGGTGTAATCATTCACAAGCACTAATACAATACACTCAAAAATTTTTAGATTAACAAAAACATTAACATAATTTCGCGTTTAAGTTTTAGTCTGTGCATTTCTGAACGAAACCAAAACGGGTTGATAGTAAATTTAATTTATATATGTAATTGTTTTTACTTCCCTGTCATCTATACTAATATTGTAAAGCTACAAACAAACTCTTTTTGTTTTTTTTTTCAATCTCAGGAACTACCGGTTCGAATTAAAAATGTTTGTGTTGGATAGATCATTTATTGATAATAACATCACGATGCGATGATGATACGAAACAGTGTGAAAATGTGGAAAAACAGGGAAACATTATTCATCTTTGAGTGCTTCTGTTGCGTACGGTGCGAAACCGGTATAATAAATCAAGAAATTAGTATGACATAATTATTAATAAAATGATCTGAAAAAAATATCCACGACAGTATATGTCCAACTATTAACTAGCAAAAACGACGGAACGCAGACGACGTAGTGAGTAACGCCTGTAAATTATAAAGGAGGTATGCAAATGTAAATTTAGATGCCTAAAATTAATACGCGGACGAAGTCGCGGGCAGAGATAATAAATATTCACTTTAGATATAAGATAATCCGCATTCAGTTTAAAGAATTTTAAATATACTTTATATATGGACCCGATCATACATATGTATTAATGGTACATCTATTAGAATACATAATAATTACTTTGTCTTGATCACTAATGGATAAAATGCCGTTTAAAACCGCTTATCTTAAGTTTAATAATTCAATATTCTACCTATAAAGTGGTACCTGGTATTATGGTGGTCAAATTTGATAGTTGCTTAGTTAAGAACCAAGAATTAATGTGATTTTTTTTCTTTAACTAAATATAAATTTTCTCGCAAGTAAAACCACCAGCCGTCACGTTTAATATAAATTGTATCTGACTCAATTAACATAATCAAACACCGGTTTTACTGAGAATGATATTATAAAGATATGTTGTCTAGTATTTTTCTACAGATACACAAACATTTTCGTCTGTATTATAATATTTTGCACTCACTCGCGGTTCCGACCTTTTTAATGTTTATGACCAAATTACAGAGAACTTTTCTTTAGTGCATGGCTAGATCACGGTTTTTTTTAATTTATTGTTTTACTTATAAGCTGCTGTCTGTATAAAATGCATTTAGCCATATAGATGTGAAGAAGTACTATAATTAAAATAAGAGAGTAAAAAGTGAGATTGAGAGAATATTTGCTGGTGTGTCAATGGGAGTTGTTTTATCCCAAGTAGCTGTCAACCTTTTATTGGCTTTAAAATTCAAATAAATATCGATTTTAGGTTTAAAAAACTTTAAACCACGGGTACCTACGACCTGAAGTGGCATCCACAGCGTTCCGTGCTGATGTCCTGAAAATATTTTTTTAAATGTAAAATCGATTTTTAAATTATAAATGCCATTATGTGCAATAACACGTGAAAAATAAAGTTTTTAAACATTCACATACATTTGCCACGGCGCCCGAAAGGAATTTCGATATTTCTTAACTCAACCTATATTCCAATTACCCACTTAACGTCATGATTCTCCAGAAGTCCATAGTCCATGTTTTCAATCATAGTTGACCAAGACAATATAGAACCTACGGCCCGTAGAAAAGTTCAACAGGCAGTGGACCAAAAACATCAATTCCATTAAATGAAATTAGTAACTATAATTGAGGCCGCTAGAACCAGAGTAGCCTAACTGAAATATTATGACGTATTTTTATAGTCTAAAAATGTTAATCTACAAGAGCACAGTGACCGAAAATTATCAACACACATAATTCTTACACAAATAATAGTGCCAATTCATTTTCGTCTAAGTTAATTGCGCAAATTTTAGTTTCCTCTCTATTGAAAATCCGATTATTTGTTAGCAGCCTGAATTAATAATGACATTTGTTCTCAGGACATTGCACTGGTAGCAGAATTTTCAGTACGAGACGCGCTGTACTACTTCGGTCGGATCTACGGCATGTCAGCACAACAACTCTCCCAGCGGTTCGACTTCCTCTCTAGTCTTCTGGAATTGCCACCGGCGGAACGCTTCATCAAGCAGCTTTCTGGAGGGCAGCAGAGGAGGGTATCTCTCGCAGCGGCCTTAGTCCACGACCCTGAGCTTCTCATATTGGATGAACCGACTGTTGGACTGGATCCCATGCTTAGAGAAAAGTGAGTGTGCAGTGCAAAAGTAAATAGCACATAAATAGGATGCCACACGAACATCCTATTTTTGTGTTGTCAACCTTTTCTTGGTAATTCAATTTCAAAATGTATGCAGTTTCTAGTTTTCCCACTAGGGCAAGCCAGTGTCCTGGGTCTAGTCTAGTAGACTTGGAAAAACAAGTTACAAACAATCTTAAGGCTAACTTATGTATACTAAAAATTAGTATCTATTGTGATACAATGCAGATGAAATGGATCAAGTCTTAGGACATTTGACAATGTAATCTAAAGATGTCAGATCGATACGAGGTCAGAAATTTGATTCTTAGTTGTGCACCTAAAAAGGAAACGTAAAAAGCACGTTCAGAAAACAAATATTTAACATGTTTCTTCAATTCGGATCGAAGGAGAAAGTTCTGGAAAGGAAATAGCTTTTTTTTATATTTACGAATATTTTCTAATAATATTCTTCTAAAGGTACATGAAAGGTACGTATTAATTGAATCCTTCGACGAAGAGATCAGACCTCTGTATCTCATCTAGTCTTTCTCGATATAATCTCTATATCTCTACGCTATCTTTCGCTGCAAACCAATCTATCTAATTATCCTAACTCGCAACCGATATTATAATCTAATTGAAGTAATTTTCCTGTAACCAGTGATGCAAAGCAATTGCCACATCTGAGCTTGCCAATCTCTTAAGAAACCCTCTTACAAAGTTTTTTGTTGACTGAACTGTAAGCCTTATTTGGGGCAAGGGACATTTATATTACCAATTGAGAATTTATACATTTTATGTTTGCAATTTCCACTTTTGTCCCGGTTGTAATTAAATACATTTATATGTGAAGCCCCACCTTTTTGAATTAGGAATGCATTGTATTAGGTACAAGAATTAGGTCAAAGATTCAATCCCGGAAAATACACAGAATTAAATAAATCGAAAGCAAATCAGTCGAACCAAAACTCTACCTATCGTAACAGAATTCACACAAGATCTTATAAGTAACAAAGATTTTTTCTTGGTGTATTTATTCTTTTGCTGTCGTGATAATTATGAATTAAAAGGTGTTAAATGAAAAATAGAAGTGTTAATTTAATCCAAGGAAATTACAATTATGAATTATTGCTTAATAAATGTATTGTATTTATTGTGGAATAGAATTGTAAAATTCAATTGTGCAAATTTATCGTTCTGGTTGGAAAGGTGCAACAGAAAATAAAATCGTTATCTGTCTATCATTACTACATAGTCTAAAGATTACTTTTAGGTCAACTGAAATATAGGATCATACCTTTATATTTTGATGTGTAGTTGGCGAATACCTTTAAATTATTAAAATGACTTCAGTAAACAGATCCTTGTAAATTCGTAACCTCGTTGAACACCTGCCGAGCTAGCATGCCCGCTTCGACATATTTTTCAAGCGAGTGATAGTGTTAGAGATCTTACACGTGTTGAGTCGTTGTTGAAAAAATATATGAACAACACTTTAGAAACTGTAATTTACGCGAGAACACATTTAAATACAACACTTTAACGGTTTAAATCGCGATATATATTAGTTAAAGATACTCGAAAATTATTTTAACTACGACCCGTCGTTTCGACTCTGGACTAAATAATTTTCAAATAAGTTTAAATTAAGAAATATCGTGTTTTAAAACGTTAAAGTGGTTTATTTAAATGCTTTAGATATCTTTCATCTTATCGTTCCTAGACAGAGTTACTTATATCGATCGGGCTTTGTTGATGTAGTCAACTAATTTCCTCGTGTATTTTGTCGAGTACATTATAAAACGATATGATTCTGTTGTGTTGAAGCGCGCATGTTGATGAACTTCTTATTTATCGGACTATAATTATCATTCATACGGTAATTAAATTAAATGTTTATTTTCATTGAACAGTTTATGTCTTGAATGGTAAAACATTGTGAAATATCGGAAGGTACATTGTAGAATGCTTGTCAGTTTTTAAGGAGCAATACCAACTGGCATTTAGTTTTGACGCCGTGTGGATTTCCATTATTGAAATGCCGCTCGTTTACATTTTTTCTGTGCTAGTTGGGAATAACCTACTTGGAAGACAACTATGATTTTTTAAGGTTCCTTATAAACGTATTTATACCAAGTGCATATGCATATATGTATTATGTATGTACACCATATTTTTCTTCTTGCCTGAACATTTTAACAACCTCAAATGGCTTTACGCCAAAGAAGAAGGTCTTTTTTTTTTTTCCCCCCACTAAAGAACTACGAATTTTAATTGACATTTTATTTTTTGTATTGCTTAGAACATTTATCGAGGAAAGCGAAAGGCTATAAAACATCGCGCTGTGACTAATAGAAGCGAAGATACAGCGGGAAATGTGAACAAAATGGGGAAATTTTTTCAACTCTGTGAGTTTTCGATGTGTACGCTGCGAAAATTGTTCAAGATACCCAAAAAATATGTATGAAATGTTTATTTTTAATATTCTTTTAATGAACTAAAATAAAAAATGCCCGCGGCGCTATATTATGTCTATCTTTGAAGATTAACTTGCAAGAACGACGGGACCCGTACAACAGGTGGCGAGCGACGAGATGCGTCCGATGTCGATCATCGGATGCGTCTCGTCGGATATCAATTTAAATTTATAAAGATGAGAAGGAGGTTTGCAAAAACTAATTCGGATGCCCAAAATAATTATTCTACGCAGACGAATTCGCTGACACAGCTAGTTATTAATAATTATAGATGATCCCAATAATGTTATTTGCTTTGCTCAGTCTTTTTTCAGTTTTTTATCTCGCAAGTAGCATTCATTATAGGTAATTGTACTCAGCACATAACCTTTACGTAGTAATAAACACTATTTACCACTTGATTATTATTATGATTGAACAGTTAAGCACTTAAGCAATGAAAACGCACTAAAAGTATGGCGAATTTTATTAATTTTTATTGATATATCCTTAACCTCATTTCCGTGTAAAGTAAAATGCAACGCGCTACCTAGACGTGAATGTTGAGTTTTAAAAAACAATTTTGACGGTTAAGTTCAATATAAAATAAGAGAACTTTTGTTGGAGGAAAAGTTAAATTTTAATTCGCAAAATTGGAGATCCTTGTATGGTTAAGAATTTTTTGCGATAGGCATTAATATTGATATTAATATAGCTAATAAAATAATATTGATACAACTTTAACTCTAACGGGAAAGAATTAAGGATCTCAATTAGACTATCAAAATCATAAAATTAGTCTGTTTTCAAACTCTGTACTAACTTGTCTTTGTTTCAAAGAATTCTTCTCCTTTTTTCCATCGGTTACTAGCTCATCTGACAACCGTTGTTTTGTAGTTTGAAAGATGTTGATACAACATGATTTGTTTATTTACAAAAACGGTTATTATGAGTAAATCTTAAGAAATAGACATGTACTGTTGCGAACATTTTTTACATCATTCAAAGAGTCGATTTTTCGCCAAATATGCAACGGAGTCTTGAAAATGTATAATTTTTTCTACTTTTTTCACATTTCCCCTACTCTCTGGTTTTTTAGTTGCTGCGTTATGTTATATAGCCTAATTTAAACACACAAACTCTTCAGCTTTATAGTATACTCTTAGAAAATGTCAATTACTGTCAACAAAAAAATATTTACCTAATCATTTTTACAGAACTTTATCAAAAACATACGAATAAAATGTTGTTAAGCTATAAATTTAGATGGGTCGAGGATTTCCAATAAATAACACTTAACAAGCTGGCCATAAATAACAGAATATTGCCTTTGCTTTGTTTAGGCATTTGCATGTGCAATAAAGGTGCCCTAAGCATTTATTATCTATTGCTTTATTGGCGTTTTATTCGTCGTTAATAGGTCAAGAGTGATATTTGAAGAGACAAGTTGTCACGATTCGCAAACACATTCAACCTCCACAGAGGTTGGCCTAAAAGCAACATTTACGATGCTGACTTAATTGAGAGTTGTGTACTTTGTTTATTTTACGTAAAAAATTGTACCTTTAATATACGTTTGACATCTGAAACTATAAGTTGTACATATATGAGGCAAAAATCATGATTTTTAATAAGGAGGAAAATAACAATGCGCAATTAACCTAGGCGAAAATGAATTTGTATTATTTGTGTAAAATTCCAGTTAGGCTACTCTAGCTCTAGTAGCTCTCATAAGTGGTATATTTTACGTTTTTGTTGCATATTATAGTGCCACATGTGAAAAATATGAAAGTGTTTATATAGGTAGGTATAGGTTATGTAAGTTAGAGACCACTTTTTCATTGTTGAATTTAATGTTTAGCCCAGATGCCAAAATGCACAATAAATAGTATAAGAATAACAAATGGACAACCTTTTGTTTCAGAAATAATTCTATAACAATACGTAAGTTAAAAAAATAATAGCTTCTTTACGATATCTAAGTACGATCCATTGTTTCATCCTTCGCGCAGCATTATAACTTTATAATTGTACTTTGCATAAACAATATAATTGGATACATTCATTCGTTGCACTCAAAGATTAGAAAAAATACATTTAGTATGACTAGAATAGGTGAGCTAAGTGAGATAAAACCATTGAATGATAGTTTTTGACAATATAATAAATAATAAATAAATATAGGGCTAATAATTATCCTTCTCTTTCAGAATATGGGACTACCTATCAGAAGTAGCGTCAAGGGGAACTTCTGTCATTATAACCACGCATTATATCGACGAAACAAAACAAGCGAACACGGTAACTATACTTTCGTATTCCTGTACAGCCATTAGATCGAAGGCTCAGCCACATTTATAAAAAGTATATATACACATACAAAATATAAGACCGCTTACGTAGCTCATAGGGTCATAGGTCTAGTGGAATTTCGGAGAAACACAGTTATTTCGTTTGGACAAGGCACAGAAGTCTAGCAGGAAGTTGCCTGTAAAACTTATCAATAAAACTGTCCCAGAAACACCCATGTCCCACGCTCCACACCGTGCAAGCCTTATTTACACCCACGAAATACAGATACTTTGCCACACTTAATGTTTTAGCCTACCTGTAAATGGTTTATGTACAAATACGAAACGAATAAATTAATAAAATTAAAAGTCTTTAAAAGACATTTCACATAACCGTTTATAATTTCACGCATTCGATCCCGTGATAGACAACGAACTATAGTACTAATAAAAGACACTTAATATCGTTGCATGACTAAACAGAAAAGGCATTACAAGTTATACTTTTAATTAAAACACTTTAACGGTTTAAAACGCGATATATTAGTTAAACTTATTTGAAAATGAATGAAGCAGCCGTGGTCACGGGGAGACGCCTGCTGCAAAGCACCCGAACAGGCGGACCGAAGTTAAAAATAATTTTCAAATAAGTTTAACTAATATATCGCGTTTTAAACCGTTAAAGTGTTTTATTTAAATGTGTATTACTCGCGTAAACTATAGACAGTATTTAAATTATACCTTAAAATGGATCAACAAACTCCCCGTATCAGTTAATAATTTGCATTAATGTAATTAGCATACAGGAAAATAAAAGAAACAAGAAGTGGTGATTAATTACTCCAAGGTTGAAGGTTGCCATCGCATGATACCAGACAATCAATGATGAGAAGTAAACGTCATCTAATGATGCAGAATTAATTAAAACTCTAAACTACCTGATATAAAATGTCGGATTGCAACCAATTTATTCGAGAAAACGTATGAACGATTTAACTCCTAGCTTTATTAAGTTTGAGGACAGATATTTAAATATGTGGTTACAGATTATAAATAGCTAGCTATAATTAACTACAATGGCTAATTGTTATTTCTTTACTGTTATGAATGATATGATTTTTATCTTCAAAAGGAAATAATAATAATATTAAGACAGAAACAGGCTCACTTAACAAATTCCCCAAAACACAATTTACTTGTTAAGTACAACGATCTCATACAAAACAATGTAATGTATTTTATTGCTGATTTCCAGCTTAATTGTTGAATTAATCGCCACGTCTTGTATAGGGATAATACGCTTCGCGAATAATTATTTTTAATTTATTTCAATGCATTTAATCTTTTTAACATATTGCGATCTTGGATGAGCATCCACACGTGTTGGCTTGAGTTCGTTAACGTTCTAACTGAACAACTTCTAACAATCACTTAAAATAAGACACTTTATGTATCATACATGTATGTTTATAGTTTCCCATAAGCCGTTTCGTTTTGGTTTGGCGTTTTAAATCTTTAAAACTGTTTTATTTAAATACGTACTACTCAGATTAAGTTTAGACAATACTGAAAAGGTAATACAAAAAAAAAAGCAAATTGTTACAAGCGCAGGCTTCAAACCCGCTACAATGAGACGAAAGATAAACAATTGGAAACGGCGGATTGCAGATCCTGTCTAATTCATTTATATACACAACATGTTTAATCATCCAAATTACTTAAATAAGAAGACTACTAATGCAGTACTATTTCCATAAATACAAAAAAAAAATTTTCCATATTTGAAAAAACGTAAAGTTCTACAGAATTTAAGGGTTTTTTTTAAAGCAGGTTTTTCTAAGGCAACAACAAGTAGATACTGTACGTGATATACATTGTTTGATCAAATAAGAACACTGAACAAATTCTGATGTCATGTTTCGTTGTACACAACCAAACATATTTTATGTAAATTCAATTAAAATATACACTTCAATTCAAACGTTTATTTATCTAATCAATGTTTAATATAAACACTGTCTATAGTTTACGCGAGTGGTACACATTTAAATAAAACACTTTAACGGTTTAAAACGCGATATATTAGTTAAACTTTAACGTAAAATTAGATAAAGTAAAATAAATATATAAAGATATGTTAAAATTTCTATAACATTTAAAACAAAATACGTTCCTACACTTTTATATAATACTAGCTGTGCCCGCGACTTCGTCCGCGTGAAATAATGAATTGGGGTAGAATTTTTAATTATTGAGGCTGTTTATTAATTTATGTAAGAGCGCATTAAAAGCAGCCGATCTGTGGTAAGTGCTCCTTTGCCGCTCTCACCTTACATCACTCCTACTCTAACTCTCACTCTCACTCTCACTCCTACTCCTATTCCCAAAAAGCCAAAGAATAAAGTTTCAATGTCCTAGCTTCAAAAACCACGAATTTCCATACAAACTTTCATTCCACTTTTACCCCTTACAACCCCCTTTTCCTATAAAAAGTAAAAAAGCCTATGTCCTTTCTCAGGGTCTAGACCATCTGTATACCAAATTTCATTCAAATCCGTTCAGTAGTTTTGGCGTGAAAAAGTAACAGACAGACAGACAGAGTTACTTTTGCATTTATAATATTAGTAGGGATTACCTGCTATGCCCGCGACTTCGTCTGCGTAGAATAGTTATTTTGGGCATCAAATTTGTTTTGCAAACCTCCGCCAGTTTTGCTGTTACTGGCGATGTCGTCCGCGCACCTTTAAAGATAGGCCTCTACTGCCATGGACATTTTTTAGATCGTTTGAAGACTCACGCAACGGAAACCCATAAATATTAATAATCTTCTCGTTTTCCACTGTTTCTTTGCACCGACTGGTCGCAGTGTGATTTTTCTAACCTAAAGCCGTCCACGATTAATACCCTAACCAACACAGAAATATTTTTATAATTCGAACCATAAGTTCCTGAGACTAGCGCGTTCCAGCAAACAAACTCTTCAGCTTCATAATATTAGTATAAACTATTATGAAAATTCATAAAAAATAAAAAGAAAACATCTCAACAATCACAGTAATACGCCTGTTCTATGAAAGACGAAATAGACACGAGACATTCTACTTAGCACTCGTTTTAACAGATCGGTCTCCTGCGCGACGGACAACTACTTGCCCAGGATTCGCCAAGCGAGATTCTGCGGAGATTCGATAGTACCACTCTCGAAGAAGCCTTCCTCAAAATGGCGCTGATACAAAATGAAAGCAATAGAACGAATAGACGACGATCCAGTGAGTATAAACTTACATTATTGTTATTTACAATACTTAGATTATTTGTGATAGAGGACAGACAATCATGAAGGAGTATCCCAGCCATATAACATCTCTATAAACAAGGTGTCGACCTATTTGGGTTTTAGATATTTTAATCTTGAAACTGAAACACGATTAAAATTACGGTCTTATATAATTTAAAAATCGAAAATAAATTGAAAAAATTTTCGACTCGGGCTCAATTCGTAGAGCAACAGCACGGAACGCTCACGATGTCGGTTCAAGTCCTGCCCGAGCCGAAAATTTTTTCAATTTATTTTCGATTTTTTAATTATATAGTGCCTTCATGTGCAATAACATGTGAAAAATAATAAAGTTTTCAAACATCACGGTCTTTTTATTTTTGGACAGTAATTCGTGACCCTGACATCACCGTAATTTAATTAAGAATTCAAGACGAAGTCCTGTTCCATGTGTTTGAACCGGGGGGATTGAATAAACGCGCCCGTTAAAAATAATAATTTTTATTTGTTTCTTGGTGAATTCTTTAAGTCTTGCCCTTAGGAATAGTAATTATATATATATACTCAATAATAGTGTGGATATTAGACTATATCTTGCAGCAAAATATTAAAGGCAATTATTTTTCAGCCCTAACTTCATCCCCCGACGTAATTCCTGAGAGCAGTATAGCGGATGACAGCAGGTTCCAGTCCACAGAAGAATTTAATGTTGTTACCAGTAGCCGAGATGTAAGTATAAAGCCTAAATCTTCAAAATAAATCTTTTAACGAAATTAGATGCTGCCTCAAGCTGTTAAGAACTGTTAAGAATGCTCAATTTTTGTCATCTTTATGTAATCTTTTTAGGTTTTGACAAAGAAAGACAACGCCCTAGATCTAAAAAGCAAAAGGAAAGGAAGGTATAAAGCTGTGTTTATAAAGAGTATACAGCAGTTCGCAAGGCACCCTGGGTAAGATAATATATAACTTCTTTAAAAAATTAAATCAACATTAAGCTTAAACTTAATTTAATGTGTCATTTATTTAGTAGGAGAATCAACTCGACATTTAACTAAGTTTCGTTACATATTTGATAGATGGATTGTTTACATAAAACACCTATAACCACTTATAACGCAAAATATATTTTAATTTTATTTGAACTACAGCCCAATATTTCGGATATTTTGCAACAGCTGTGGTCACGAAGGGACGCCGCAATATATATATATATATATATGCAGTCTGTAGCTTACGCAAGTAGTATACTTTAAAATGACGCTTTTGACTAAAACGCCAAATATACGCAGCATCCGAAACGTCGGGTCGTTTTTAAATTGCTTAAAAATAAGTTAGTTAATACATTTAAAACGCAAAGTGTTTTATTTGCGTGAACTACAGATAGTGATAGAATGCTTTAAGAAACTGCATAAAAGAGACACTTTCAAAAACAATCTTCGTTAACAATAATTTACCAAGAAAGTTTAGATTACGCATTGAACAATACATTATTATTACATACATGCCGAAGATTGTTACTATTTGTAAAGATGATTGTCCGTTTGTCATCGATTATTATTGTGGAGGTTCATTCAATATATTCACGTAGTCTTCGCGAATACATTACGTATAAGGGAACCAAATCACGTCACATTTTCCGCAAACCGTTTTGGGTGCAGACGTGCTCGGGTTTGTCAATTAGTCTTTAAATACAATTTGTTTTGGCAATTCCCTGGGGTCATAGTGTTGCGAGTCAACAGACTAATTGTAAATAAATGTATAGTCTATAGATTCAAATTTGGTCCACTAATTGAGTACTACTCAAGCTATCTAATCTATATGTTTAAAAATTAATAATGTTTAAATTTTCTAGTTAAAGCTATCGTACCTTCCGTGTCGCTCATTTGGTTAGTGCAACAGCATTAAGCGTCGTGGATGCCGTTTCAATTCGTGCCATGGCGTATTTTTAATTTTTATAATGCCATCGTGTACAATAACATGTGAAAAATATTAGTCTTCAAATGATAAAATGTGTTTATAAGATAGTCTTAAAACTAACTAAATCGTTTAATCTATCAGTATGTTTGTATGTACATATCATTTGTATATGTATATACAAACCTATTTGACACCGTCCAATGCGGTTTCAATCCGTGTTTCGGGTTTAATCTGTAGATCTCTAAATATCAATATCAAATAGTCAATAAATGTCTCGATTTTTTCGCCTTCCATCAAGTGTGAGTACCTTTCCTCCTCTAAGAAAAAAAATAACCAGAACATACGTAAATAAAAATAGGTCAATCTCCAGACCTCACACCAGTAGATCAACTCCATCCTCATCTAATCTAATACACATTTCAGTGGGCTCATGTTCTCTATACTATTCCCAATGCTGCAAGTTATGGCCTTCTTCAGCGCGGTGGGACGGGATCCAAAAGGCCTCCACGTAGCCGTGGTTAACGAGGAGGCAGCTTCTTTACCATGTTAGTATCACGCCCACGCCTTACTACTATAAATACCAAGCAATCCGTGTTATAATGTGAAAGACTTTAATTTTATATAAATAAATAACTATATTGCCAATAAGTATATAAAAATGTATAAACAGTTCTCTTATAAGCGAAACTTTATCCTTACTCTGTCTACTGTTTTTCCTCCAGTACCTTTCAATTTCTTTTTTTTTTACTACGTATTTCTTTTTTGATAAATAATAGTATATTTTTCTTTTTACTCTCTTCCAGTGGGCATAGATATGTGCAAAATGGACAATCTGACACGAGTGGCAATCAACGAAGAACATATATGTGACTACTACATGTTGAGTTGTTGGTTCGTTGACGAAATGGAAAATCGAGATTTAGTTGTGGTGAGTTGTTTATCATTAATTTATATGTATTACGTAGACAAGCAAAATTATTAACCAATTACTATCCACTTTACACTGTTAAAAATGCAAAATACGTTTAAATAAAAAACTTTAACGATTTAAAACGCGATATATTAGTTAAACTTATTTGAAAATTATTCTTAACTTCGACCCGACGTTTCGGAGTCTCCCCGAGACCACGGCTGCTGCCAAGCATCCGAAACGTCGGGGCGTATTTAACATAAGTTTATAACTAACACATTCCGCGTTTTAAACCGTTAAAGGCATTTTATTTAAGAAAATATATTGATGTTGATTAAGATGAACCAGTAAATTTATTACTATTAATATTTTTTTTTCTTTTCCAGAATTACATTAACTCAACGGAAGAAGCAAAGACAGCTGTCGCCAATCGCCACACATACGGTGCGGTGTATTTCCCACTCAATTTCAGTTCCTCGTTGTCTTTGCGAGTCGCCGATGGCTACGTGGAAGATGACGTGGCGAACGACAGCACCATTACTGTTTGGCTCGACATGACGGGTAAGCGCGTTTCGGTTAGGGTCTATAGTTCTTAAATTCAGTAGTGGCAGTTATAATACATTATCCTAGTAGAATCAACTGCCATAATTTTAGTATAGTAGTTATATACAATTTTTATTACACAATATTGCGCAGACGCACTGAAAACAGCTAAAGTTTACCTAAGCCTATTGGTACTTGAAGCGATGTTTTACATATAGCTTAGGTACTTTCTAGTCAGCAAATATTTTTTATGCATTTAAGATCTCTTAGTACCTTTTTCATAAGGACACAAATATTATTTCTGTTAAAAAAACGTATTATTTTTTCTCTTTTTTAAATACGTTGTGTTTATTACAGATCATCAAATCTCGCATTTCTTGAAAAGGACCTTCCTCAAATCGTACGAGTCTTTTACTCAACGAACTATGAGGGCTTGCGGTATGAATGAAGATATTGCCAAGGTAAATATTACCTATGATAGTCTATGAAATTGAATATTCCATTCTTCACCATAATTTATTTCTTCACAAAAGTATTTAATAGTCTAACCTTCGTTTAATAATGATTACAGTTACCAGTGCGGATAAAAACTCCAATCTTCGGCGAGCTGGAACCAGAAATGGTGGCTTACATGGCACCTGGTGTCATGATTACGTAAGTAAAGTTATTTAATTGAATAATATAAGTAATTCGATTAGGAACCTAATAGGTGTCTAAGAGATTCAAATATATTGGAACTCGAACAAGGTAAGCATCGCGGCATATCCGGCTCGAAGGACCAGCGGCTAATTCAACTCTCTCATAACCACTAATATTTTACGTGTTTCAGTATTATATACTTTCTGCCAGCCATCGTTACCTCCACCTTGATGATATCAGATCGACTAGAAGGAGTGTGGGAACGAAGCGCTGTGGCTGGCGTCCAACCCAAAGAGATGCTGCACGTGCATATAACGCTACAGAGCTTCGTCATAGTTTTGCAGGTTAGTACTAGGAGACTATTAATTCATTCATTGGAACTATTTTTACTTAACCTTTCAATTGATGTTAAATTATTCGTCCTTATTAACACGGACTGGAAGCACGTGTTACATAAAATGATATTCGTGTTTCTATTTAGATTTCTTTATTATGCACAATTTTTTTTTATAGTAGCAAAAGAACAGCGTTGTAAACGCTAGCGTTCCTATCAGTTCCAAAGATTTTATATTGATGTTTTTTTGTCAACGGTATAAAAGCATCTTGTACTGAGAATATTTTATGGCATACATAATTATTTTTCGTTTCACAGACAATAGAGATGATGGTTCTCGCGTTCCTTGGCTACAATCTACCTTCGAAGGGTTCTCTAGTGACCTGCGGGCTTCTACTCTTCCTGCAGGGCATAGGTGGAATGTGCTACGGGTTCCTACTATCCGTACTGTGCTCTAGCTTCACTGTGGCGTTCTTTATCGCTACTGGAAGTTTCTATCCTATGATATTGCTTTGTGGTAAGTAATAGAATACAGTAATTTCTTTTTGTGATAAAACATGTTCTTCGTTTTCGTTATGGTTATCAATTGATTATTTTTTTGGAAAAATAACTTTAACTAGAAAAAAATTGACGGTAGTTTGAGGAACTGCTTGTCAACCGATTAAAACACGTAGTCTGGGATTTTAAATTTCGCGAAATTTATCATATTGCACACGATGTAATTGAAATTGTTGATTTTTTATAATTCCACGTAAACAATAAAGCTTTTTTAAAGTCAACTCTGTAATCTCCCCTTCAATAATTTAAGGTGGGATATTGACTCTTAATGCGCAAGTGTTAAGGTTGAAATTACGTTGCGCGTGAGGTGAATGTATCAATAGGTTTAGTTTAACGATGACGTGTAGTCTACGGTAGCACAATCATCGCTTTCAATTTATATGCCCATTATATGTATTATTAAATTGTTATACCAAATATTTCCAGGTATCCTCTGGCCGCTAGAGGGCATGCCGACCGCCCTCCGCTACATAGCACTGTCTCTGCCCTTCACGATGCCGTCCATGTCGTTACGAGAGCTGATGATGAAGGGTTCCAGCATAACAGAATACAATGTGTACATCGGCTTCGGCATAAGCATTGCTTGGATCGCATTAATCCTAGCTATATGCTTCTTGAGGCTTAAGTTTAAGAAATCGTAGACTGCTGAATTAGGTATATTTTCTAAGACTATAAAACGTTCAAATTAATTAATCAACAAGTACCAACAAAATTTGTTTAAGTTCTGAACTCAAATAGAACATCCCTTGGTACTGTACGGTCAGCAAATAAATTTTAGATGAAACAAGTATTGTATTTAGCAGTAGTAGGTAAGTAATAAAGTTACGTGTACTTAAAAATTTTGGTAAGTTTTTAAGAAGCAAGACAAATGACACTAGGAAGTAACACTTGTGGGTCTAGCCCAAAGGCAGGGTGGCACATTTTGGCAATTAATGGCATTTATGGAGCTGATTGGCTCTCGGGTTGCTGTATATAGCTTAGTGAATTATCAAATCGGAATATTCGATAAAACAAGACAATCGCGTATAAGTTCTGTATCGTTATAGGAAATGTATTTTGTATACTTTTGTACTTTAATATTAAATATAGCGATTTGGTATCGACTAAAACACTATATATTATCATTGATTTTGCTTATTTTTACAGTTAAAACGATGTTATTGCCGTTATGGGATCTTGTGATACAAATGTGATGTAGGCGTATTTATAATTAAAAACATTTCTATATCTCTCGTTTCATTTTAACACAAAATTATTACCTAAGACATCGGATCCAACTTCATTTAAAAATCTTTGCCATTTTTTCCCTACTTCGTTTTTACAAATCAAACAACTGCTCAGATATAAAAATTTATATTATAGGAAATATTTTGGATACAACATCTGTCCGTCACGCGCCCGCGCCGCTTCGACCCCATGGCACTTAGCATCTATTTGTGACACGATCCACGCCGTTGTCAAGGTATAGCATGGTCGTGCTTTGTCAACGAGGAAGACTGGGTTCCACGCTGGTCCCTAGCGGAACACCAACGTTTAAAAATCCTCCGAGTTTAACAAACGAAACGACTTTTGAATATCAAAGGAATGTCAAATCATTACAATTTACTTGTTCAACGTTAATTGATGGATTTTTCAGGGACAAGCGTACAACGGCCGATGCGTTTCCCTCACAACGTGAATCCAACTACGTGGGCAGGCGCGCGCGCAATTCGTTGTAATCTCTCAATACGCCAATACAAATGATATCACATGGCTGCATCCACCGAGCGGGAAAGAAAACTGTTTTTAATCACTGTTCGCATTTTTCACCTAACTAAACTAGACTTAAACTAGCACGCATCACGCACTCGCTCGCTATGCTACACTTCCACTTTTACATCGGGGTCCTAGTCAATTCTCGGTTTGCTTTCGAAGCAATATAAAACTTAGCTGCGAAGGCATAATAGTTAATTTCCCACGACAATTATCACACAAATATCACTATCTATCGGCCGAGATTGAGCGGACAGCATAATGTAACTACGCGCGAGGAATTGACTGTGGCCCCTAATAAAAACAAAATACAAAAACGCGGTCGGCAACCGGCTACGAGCGCCTCGACGGCCGACGAAAATCAACACACCGTACCTAAAATTATACAATAAAAAGGCTTACAAAAAATTCATTAAGAATATCGATTGAACATAATTTTAAACACGAGTACAAACCGTATATAATAACTGTACAATAGAATACATTGTGACGTTATCTCAGGCCTCCGCGACGTACGCCTATTTACAACTCGCCAAGCGCTCGATTCACAACTATAAGTAATTATGCCCGATTAATCCCATACGAGTGCGATTTCAACTGTTCCAAACATAACAAAACTACCCGCCCTCGATTGCGGGTAGTTTCACTCACGAGTTTCACAACAAAACATGAAATAATAGATACAATAAATAAAAAAAAATTGTTTAACAACTATGTCGGGTAAGGCACGGAACCCCAACAGTTCGCTATTTGACTTATTACGTATACAAAACCTTGTCAACTTACACTTTTCGCTTATAACAGACAGTCGAAGCCCACATTACATTTACCTGATATAAATATACAACCTCATCATAAATAACATGTTAAGTTTACATATTTTAAAATGACAACTGTAATTTTATAAAAACGCATGGAATATTAAAAACAAATAAAACTGTTAAAAAATAAATGTATATTCACGTAGAGTCGACTGTATGCTACAATAAACCTCATTGAAAACAGCGCCATCTCTCGATGCAGTTTAAAACTAGGTTCGTCTCATTTCAAAGTAGATAGAGAAAGAGACAGCACTTCTTTTTCGTGTAGTCTCAAATGTCAATCGTTGTGGAATAACCGACCTTAAAACAATGTATAGACGCTTAATCGTAACTTATCATTATCGAAAAACATCTTATATTCCGATACTAACTAATCTCGGTGTCGGTAATAAATAACGTACGCCTAAGTTAAGCGCTCCTCCAATAACTATTCCGAAGGCGCTTCCGAAATAATTATGAAAGAGTTAAGCATGGAATTTAACTGTGATACATTTGAACAGAGGAATCAATAGAAAACTATCAGAATTTTGCTTCGAATTTGATGACTGGATTACGCTTCTAACAATCGACTGTTACATAACTTTCCCTTAAAAATCTAGAGCTTTGTGTATCCGATTTTACAGTTTTCAAAGTCATCAACAATTTTTAAATTGAGTCCAAACTAGAGTTTTTAACAATAAAAATACATACCCCCCAAAATACTCTCCACATACACAAAACCTTTACAACCTAACTCTTTAAGAGAACTCGTTGGGATAAAATATCCAGCTTAATTTTGATAAGTATATCTAACAAAATTTCTTAAAATATAGCGTATGCGGAGAGCATAAGTTTTCGTTGAAGCCCATTTGAAGCTGGTGGTGAAAGTTACAAAACGGTTTGGTTACATAATTTGTTCGTGATTCACAATATCGTGTAGGATAGTTGTGATGTACCTATCATAGTTAAATAATATCAAAACCTAATATATAAGGATACTAAGCTGATTGTTCTTTTAATGGCCTCAGAATCTAACGCAAACTAAACGCATATGAGAACACTGTGTGATGTATTTTTTTGAAGAAAAGTTTATTAATCTATGTTTATAAATATGGCAACATCACAACTATCCCGCACAGTAACAAGCAAGTACTAACAGTAATATATTCGATTCTCCTACTTATTCTATCTTTAAAGCGTTCAGGGCTATCTCGATGAAAGGACCTTGTTTTAAGGAGTTACTCGCAACTTAACACAAACTAATTTGCTTGTTAAAAACATAAAAAGGATTTGACTACAACTATACTTGCTGTAAAATTATTTAAAATCAATGCTGGTAAAAGATATGCCCACTGTACAATTGTAAACACGTACAAACCAGGTAAAAATATAACAAATTACATTTTGAGTAACATCTCAAAACAAAACCCGAGCACACGAGAAATGGACTACACACGGACGCAAAATTCAAACGAAGCTGATTATGGCGGATGAACGATGCCTCTGTACTGACTTCACAAAAGACTAAGTTGTATTATTAACAAAAGGGTGACAATTTTCAAGAAAATATTAAAGTAAACTTACAAAATCAATAATAAATGTAGTTAATATTGAAAGGGCGGCACTTTTATGTGTGAGATGGATAAAACAGATATAGTTTTAACGCAGTATGCCAAAATAGCGTATAGATGAGAACCATTAGGTTTATGTATCTAAGATTAACATAATTTACAATAAAAACAAAATACTGTCTTTTACATCTCGTAACAGCAGCTTTTTAAGCTACGAACCAATTGTTAGTCAGTAGAGAAGCGCGCTCGTTCACGTGAGGGCCGGGTGTTCGATTTGGGTCGCAGACGCGAGTGCGCGCTAGAACTTATCCTGGAAGATGAAGAGGTTGTTGGTGGCTGCCACCGCAATGACGCTCTCGTGCGGATGCCACGCCGTGTGCAGAATCTTCTTGTTGAAGTCGAGGCTCTCTACGCTTATTTCGTCCTGGAACCGTACCGTACTCTCATTATACATTTGTAACATAATAGCGTCTAAGATAGGGCATTAGGCATTAAATCAAATTGACTTTTTTGTTTGGGACAAACCATTTATCAAAGAAGGCTTTAATACATCACCCTGCAAAAATAGTGGAAAGTGTGGAAAAACGTGGGATTCCGTTGCGTGCACTGCGGTTCAAGAGACCAAAAATTTTTATAAATAAAATAAAGATTCGAATGGTTTCTTTAAAATATCTAAAAAATATGGACTATAGAATGCGTCTATTTTATAATATAGACACATAGTGAATAGTTTTTAAGGTCACCTTTGGCCGAAATTATTGCCTTATTACCCACTGTTCATCATGTATATTTTTTAGAATAAAAAAAAGAGATAAAACCAAAATCTACCTTCTTCCTCTTAGCGGTGGTTGCAACCCGCCTCGCTCTGAGCGGTTGCCTCGGGCGCGCGGCTGCCTCGCGAGACGCCTCTAGCGTTAACTCGCCGCGGCGTCCGTTGCCGCCCCCGCTACGCTCGAATATCCTACAACACGAGTGTTAACATAATAAAACTAAGCCGAGAACTAAAGAGAGATTTCAATTAGTAAATTATTGCTTATGCCATATCACAATATTAAATAATATAAAATGTCAAATTTTGGACAAACATATAAGATTTGTTAAAGACTTATGTATCAAAACATGTAGGTTTGATTTAAATAAAACATTTCAAACAGTTCAAAACACGAAATGTCTAATACAATAAATTTTAAGAATGATTTTAACTACGGCCAGAGGCTAGGCGCCATAGCACTTCCGAAACGTCGGGCCTTAGTTTTTTAGCTTAGATTCTTTCTTTATTAAAACCGTTGCAATAAGACGTATCGTACCTAAAGAATCCGTTATATGAACCAGTCATGAGCCTCTGATCGTCGCCGCTCCAACAGCACTCGAACTTGTCGAAGATGCAGTCGTTCTCGTACAAGGAGCACAACTTCGCTCTCAGGTACTCGTGCACCTGGAAATGTATAAAATTGCACGTTTAAATTAGGTATGGTATGCAATCTTCAGATAAATATGTTCATGCTTTTTTCATATTTATAGATTCACAAATCTCTTTCAACTCTAGAATTACTTATTATACTTAATAGAAAATAATTGTAGTGAAAATTTCTCTCCAAATATGTGTTTGTATATGTAATAGGATCTAACACACATAGTGTTAAAAAGGATACTCACTGAATATGTTTCTACAGGTTTCGTTTCCATTCTAAAATCCCAAACTTTTAAACCTAAATAATCCCTGGACATCATATATCTGAAACAAGAGAGGAATTTATCGTGTATGTGATTACAAATTTGTCAACTTACATACTAAGTAAGGGGTGCTTGATGTGAGTTAGAGTGGCCAAACAAGAAAAAATATGCAGTGCACTTAAAGTATGTGAAGGAATGAAACAAAGCAATAATAGTGGCGGCAAGTTTCTTGCCAGTTCTACTCGTTCCACCTATGTCCTTGATTTATGGACTGTCACCGATATCACATAATTTGTATCGGCTCTAAGAATATAATTAGTCCAAAAGAAAAGTTAACTCCTAAACGTCAAGCATTGGAGATTGTAAAACATTAAAAACTCTATCTCGTTCTTCACTTTTCTTTATAATAATTACATACCTGCCAGAGTTGCTCAGCTTCACGTCGCTGATAGAAGATATGATCTCGGAGAAGAAGGACCTCGCATGAGGGTCCTCCGGCTCCTCGAAGAGCTTCGCGTGCCTATCGCAAAGCGCCGCTGCGCGCATGTCGCACAGCCTTATTGTACCTGGAGCCCAAACGAAAATACATCAGTTAAGTTAAAAATCTAGGCATAGATAAAGAGTTCGTCGTTTGGTCAAAAACATAGAAACGACCGGTTTGATAATAAATAATAGGTCTTCAAAGAAACATTTAATAATTGTTGTTTAACATGTATTAATTTTTTTTTATTTAAGGGTCTACAGAACTAAAATAAGAACATTATTACAGACTTGGAAAATACATATTTGCCTTAAACATTTCAAGAGATCCACTTACCCTTACTACTAGAATATACAAAGAGATTGCATTCAGTCGGGTGGAACTCTGCAGCCGTTATCACCTAAAAAAATCGATTGTTTAAACATTTGCATTGAAATGGTGGGTACGATATTCAACACCTATAATTAGGAATTATAAACATAACAGATAGAGGATATTAATGTTTCATACTGTGAATTTATTAATCTTGTGATATTTATCAGCTAATTAAAGTAAAAGAGGAACAGAAAAGGTTAACTAAGTTGGTTAATTGTTTTGTTATGTATGGTAATTGAAATGAAAATAAAAAAATATTTATTGTTGCCAGAAACTAACTTATGTACAAATAGAAATAGTATCTATTGCTAGAGTGAGTTGATATTTGCATTTTGCGTGTGTTAATGAACCAATAAGATAAAAGGAGACTAGCAGTATGGTTGACGATTTGTATCCTTGTTCATTGAAGGACCTGTGCAAAAGAGAGAACACTATCCACCCGTTTTGTTAAATGTTATGGAATCACTAGGGTGTCGGTTTACCTCGGTAAGCTCTTCCATGTTAGCCGGCTTGATATCCACAATGTTGAAGCTCTGGTCGGTGATCTCCAGGTGCCAGAGGTTGATGCGGAGGTCGTCCGCAGACAGGTACGTCTCCTGGTCCGAGTTTAGCGAGATCGAGTTTATGTGGTATGTGTGTGCGTTTGCGAATATCCGTCTGCAAGAAAATAGTAGTTGAATTGCTTTATGTATTAAGTGCTATATCTATACTAATATTATAAAGTTGAATAGCTTGTTTGTTTGTTTGAATGCGGTAATCCGAGGAACTATTGGTTGGAATTGAACAATTTTTGTGTTAGTTAGGCCATCGATCTAAGAAGGCTTTAGGCTATAAAACATTACGCTATGAGAAAAAGAAACGGTAGGAAATGTGGAAAAAACAAGGATAAATTTTCATCTTTGAGGGTTTCCGAAGGGTTTAGAGGGTTGCGAAAACTATTCAAGATACCCAAAAAATACTTACGAAAGAATGATATATTTTCAAATGATTTAAAAAATGTTGTTTTAAGTTTATCCTAATTTAAAAAGGTCACATGTTCTTTATCTCACATGTACGAGTGGATAAAATGCATCAATTAGTACAGATATGTCTAAACGCAATACTACTGAGCGCCCCTGTGACGTTTATCACAATTTCATTAGCAGGTGGATCTTGAAAGCCCATACGCACGCTTGTGTTTGCGCTGTGATTAGATAGCTCATGATTTCCAATAAAACGTGATATGCACAAGTGGATGGGCAAATATTTGTCACAGTCAAGTAGTGACCTGACGTCTGCTCTGATAACCGTATATTTTAATTAATGGTTCAAAGTATTACAGAGTAAAGATATTAGGTGGTTTATTATTTATATTTTAGGGCATTCATATCTTTACAACAAGTTTTACAATTAGACATTTATTAAAGTACGAAGTATGAAATGATTACATATACTGAATTACTGTTATTCGCTCAGTTAGGATTCAGCAGAAACATTCTTTATACCGATAGACACAGCCATTTGAACTTTAAATTTTTTTTACATGTTATTTATATTATTTGTTCAATTTCAACTTTATCACTTGCATATAAAGGTAATGTGAAATTTCATTGCAAAAGAGGTGTATGTATCAATAAGTTGAAAAAATTGGATGATGAGGTGTGGGACTCGGTAGCTCAGTTGATTGGAGCAACAGCACGAGACACAGACATATAATATCTGATATCATTATCAACATAACTAATAATTAATGATATTTCATTTAAAGAAGTATGATATTTTTAGAAAACGAATATTTAAATAAATTAAATAGGAATTGACATTTTTTATCAAAGATAATCGGTCACTGATAATGGAAATAGGCTGGTAAGCAAGGTACCTGGGCGATGCTTCGACCATGAGGTCAGCCGGTCGCACCGTGGGTACGCGCAGCTGCGTGACTCGAGACGGGTCCCGCGGCCTTCCGCCCTCTTCGCGCGTGTTGTAGCCTGTTACTCGCTTGTCTCTCTCTGACACCTTAAACAAATAAAATACGTTTATTGTCTCTTTCGTAATAATTACAAATAGTATTGAAGCTATTTCAATAAAAGATTTATTTTAGTTTATGGTGCTTAAGTTTGGTCAGCTAAAAATGTGTGTATATTTATACTATATATTAAAACTATGCCAAACTCGAGATAAGTATTCCTCCAAAAAATGGTTGATAAAACAAACAATGATTACAAAAATTCTGTCAAATTCTCCGTGTCTTTTTATGTGAGGAACTGTATTGTTGAGATAATATTTAAAAAAAATCACTTTTAACGGTTAGAAAAATTTAAGTTAAACTTATTAACATTTGCTTTTAACTACAGCGCGACGTTTCTGATGCTTTGCAGCAGCCGTAGGGATCGCGTTTCATTTAAATGTGTACTACTCACGTAAACTAAAGATATACTATTCGTGAAACGATTGCTCGCAGTAACTAGAAAACCAAGAGTACAAGCTTTTGTTAAATAAACGCTTCTAATTAAGTTACGCCCGTAATTTGGGGTAATTTAAATATCCTTGCATGTAGTTGGGAACAGACATGGGGAAACAATCTAGGGTAATCTTACCTTCCATAATTTGATAGTCTTATCGTTAGTGGATAACAGAAAGTGCGCCTGGTTCTTCCGCTTGAGCCATCGGATCTTGTTGATCTTCTCCTCGATCTCCAGCGACTTGAGGTAGTCGAACTCCGGCTCGTGCGACTGGAACGTCGAGTACACGTTGTACTCCCCCTTCTTGGGTACGCATTGCTTTGACGCGGGGTCTCTCTGGAAAATTATGTGTTCATTAATATTTCACAAAATGTAAATATATTTTGCTGGCATATAAACAAAAGTGGTTCCTTTTATAGCTATTATTAACATGCATTCTGCAAAGTAATGAGTTGAGTGATTAACAAGTAGCGTGGACTGATCACCCACCCTGTCGTCTATCGGTGTACCCAATGGAAAATAATAATAATAACATACAAAGTAATATGCATATTATATATAGTTTTTTAATGTCTACTTGTATATAGGTAAAGTAATCCTAAAAACCGATCTCAACAGCATGATTTAAATAACTTTTATTTTGCGAAAAGTGTCCTTTAGGGTAATAGAGCAAAAACTACTTTTCCTTTAGAAAGGACAGTGTCCTAGCGGTGGGAGCTAAGGTCTGCTATTGAACGTTCATTTTACAAATGACAAAACTACAATTTGACATCGCCCTTGTTCATACGTGTTTCATAACTCCAATGTCCCATTTCTTACAAAAGGTAACAATTAAGAACGCTAACACATGAATCTACGTACTTTTCCTAACGTCGCCTGTGATATACGTTCTACATACAACTACGATTACGTAGCAGTCTCGTCCAACAACGATGACAATAGAATTGATTTGTTTACATAGCTCTCATTAATCTCGAGGTCTAGATCAACAATAGGTTCTTACTAAGACAATAAATATTATAGTTCTTTCTATGAGTTGTCAAATCCATTGCATTCTAGGCCGGTTTAAAATCTTGTTTTAGATTTAATACAAAAAGTAATGATTCTCCTTTACTAAGTCAAATAAGCAACCATCTTAGGATCTATAAAATCCCTCCATCCGTGGTGCACATATGGTGTACCAGATTAGTAATTCTTTAATCTGATCTTTAAAAAATCGATAATCATTAAGTAAAGAAAAAAATCTTAAGATTTTTAAAAGAACTGTTTTTGTTCGTGTCTATAATTTTGGAGACTTATATAGTTGAAGATACAAGGAAAGGGGAGATAAAAGGACCCAATTCTTCTTTATATACAGGGCCCGGCCACCTTGCTACTCTACTGATTACCGTGTCCATTTCACTCGAGTTAATACCTAGGAAAACCGAAAGTGTCTATATTACTCACTTGAAATATCACAACTCGTCCGCCCTTGTCGCCGGTGGCTAGCAGCTCTCCATCGTGGTTGAACTCGACGCAGGAGATGAGATCCGCCTCTGTCACGTCATCTTCGAGGGTACCTTTGACCTGACTGAAACACCACGTTGTCTCGCCACCATTGCCTGAAAGATAGGCGCCATTAGCCACATGTTACGACACTGTTATAGACAGTAAATGCCAAGGAAATGTTACTCCTTTTGCTTAGTCTGTTCCCTGGTCGATTCTTATAAGAGAGACGATTAACCAAAACTTTTTATCGTGTCGCGTCCGAATTCTTTTCTGCCCACGTTATTTATTGTAGCATTAAGTTAGTGTAACAGACCATTCCAACTTAAAAATATATATATCTGTAATGCAGATGATAAAAATTTGACAGAATAGACATTCTGTATGTGGTAATTTTGAAAGCATGCTAACAACAAAAAGTGAGTCGTCTGAGGTTTCTTGCGAGAGGTCAAATAACTTCAAACAAAATGCGAACCATCAATCCTTTTTTTCAGAATTTTAAAGCATTTATATGATCCTCTGTTTTAAGCTAAATATTTACTGACAAAGGCGAAACCCAGACGGTGCGTTATTAGCTCCGCCAAAACGCGAAACCATAGAAGTTAGTCCGACTATTTCACGGTTCATTAACATGTCTCATTATAGTTTGTAGAAACTGTCTTCGCTAAAAGATTTAAGTATATATTACAACTTTTACCTATTAAGCCCTTACAAACCTAGCAATAACATTAATAAATACAAGAGAAATTAATATTGAATCCTTCTAAAAGTCAGATAAAATTATATCAAGTCCAAATTTTATGGACGAGATAGTGAAATCTACTCTTTATTGTCTAGACCAGTAAAGTCTATTAACCAAATTAATGGCTTATGAGAGTTTATATGGCACATCAGTCAACTGTGACACTGCATTAATGTACATAACTTCAAGACAGTTATCTATACACAATTTTAATTTAAATAAATCTATTTGTATAAAATGTAAATGTGTATACATTTAATAGAACTACAGCTATTCACAACCATCTTACCTCCTATACACTAGTAAAAGAACTAAAACAAAGATGTAGATATATAAAAGTTAGTAGAAAAGTATCAATACTACTCTACAAGAACTAAACTACTAGACAACTAAATAGTAAATGCAATGTACTTAACAAGTGTTAAATAGTGTAAAAAGGTTCTCGCTAAAAGGATAATATGTTCTTTATATTGTTGATGTGTAAAGCTTTTTATGAACATTTAAACACAATTTGCTTCATAATATATACTCAAATAGATTTTCACAAGATTTCAATAGTGCTTCTATTTGCCTGACAATAATATCTATCTATCTTCTTTAAGATTTGTAGTTGTTTTACTTTCTCATTACTTAGTTCTTAGATTTATGTTTCTCTAATCTAATACTCATAACTGGTTTTAGTCTGCACAAATGGAAATATCGTTAGCAGTTTTATATTGTCAAAAAGTTAAAACTTAATTAAGAATAAAATACATACAACAACAGGCATAGCTGTGCACTTCACATGTATATCTCCAGTGATAAATAATATTCTCTTGCAACCAAATTCTGTTGGAATACCAGGGCACTTCCTTCTTTTTCAGCATATTTTCATAGGTTTTAGCATAATTGTCACAATATTAAGACATGTTAGCGAGACCCATTGTTAAGACAGACTGAAGACCCAGTGAACAACTTGTTGCAAAACAATGGTGTCATTTGATAGCCATGAATAGAAACTGTAAAGAAACTTGAATCCTACGCTGTAGATGAGTGCATTGTATCAGTTACATTGCAGTATGGCACAATAGTAAATGGTATGCATTGGTAGTAAAATGTTTGTGCAGTGCAGCATTTTATGATGTTGTTTAGTATAATTGTAACACTTTATAGTTAGTAATGTATTAGTGTATATTTCGTGCATAAAAAATCATATCTAAGTTAAATCTATGATTTTAATTTAAACAATATCTGATTTTTTTAAGAAATTTTATATTATGAGTCTATTAAAAGCTTTGGGAAAATAAATTCTTTCAATCCACACATTTTGACTAAGTTTTAAACATATATATCAAACTGCACAACTAGTCAAAGGAATACCTTTATTTTCTACGCAATTGCTACAATAACAAATTATACTACATCACATCACAAACAGTTTTATGATCATATAATGAGTCAAAGGGAGAATTAAAGACCCCTAATGGGAAGTAAATAGGAATATAAATGGCCTACATATCAATTTAATAGGTGCCTATAAAATAATGCATCATATTATCAGATTAAATTTCTGGGATAGACTAAGTCGGTTGAAGGTTAAACTTGAGATTCCTTTTTATTTGATATTTAATACAAAGGCTTGTTTCAATCTTTTTAAGGGTAAGAAAATGTTATAACCTAAAAAGTTAGTTTTTCTGTTCTTGTTCTGGTGTATCATTGTACAAAATGCTCTGGGTTTAAACCTCAGTGAGCCTTGATGAATAAGGCCTTAAGATATAGTGGGATATAAAACTATCCTAGATAAGTCTGCACGGTAATTAAAGAAACTGATATGTTGCAAGGAAAATATTGTAATTTTGGCAAAGATTCAAGATTAACATCACTGTTTACATATAAATGCTACGGTTGTTGATGTGTCCTTTGTATTATGTTTGCAACATATTGTGATAGCTACCATGCATAGAATAAATAAGTGTCCTAAAGATAATTTTAGGATGGAAAGTTTGTTTGTAGCACATATAAACTTAAGTATGTCTGTCTCTTTGGTTAATTAACTAATTTCATTAACAATTTTGTGTTTATCAGGATAAAAATAATTTTATCATTGTCCCTGGGACTAAGGAATAAGCGTTAATGGTTAACCTACATACAAACAAACATAGAGTAGTATTTGCAGAGTAAATTAACTAATATAATATGAACTACAAATAAAATTACCACAATTTTATGTAATTTATCCAAAGACAAGTCTGGTAGATGGTAAAGATATCATACTATAGCTTCTATATAGAACATATGATATTAAGTTCATGTAACAGCGACCTTAGAGTAATTAGTAAGGACAGAATGTACAAGCTACAACATCTGTCAGTACAATAGCAAAAAATTCCATTCTCAATGTGTATACATTGCAACAATACCAAATGGGATCTCTCCAACCACATACATGACCATTGCAAACCACTTTTTCATCATACTAGTACCATTACAACCATTGCAAACAGGTTTGTAAGGAGGGTATAAAAAAATCACTCTCACCTGTCTGTAACCTCATTGCGTCTAGAAATTCACTTTTACGTTAGATTTTGTCACTAACTAATACCGTATACCGATTCTACATGTATTATTTCCAAGTTAGTTCTTGTGACAACGGCCGTTTGACCTTCAATTTACGAATAACATAATGTAATCATCTGATCACCCAAACAATCGTTATGTTACGATTATTACGTGACGGGTACGCGTTAGTTTACTATATTGAAATTGCGAGAACCTTATTAACACTATACCTCAAGCGTAATAACAATAATCAAGAGGGAAACGTTAAAAACTAAGTTCAAACATTAGCAACACTTTCTCACTCAAAGATACTGTTATTTATATAAGAGTAAACACTAAGAAGAAGTCACACTAAGAACGAGAACATTGCATTTACCGTCGGAATTCGACCGATAAAACATCTTCGACTTATTGCGATTCCAGACTCCGATTTCGCCCTTGTCTAGCGGGCGCTAAAAGTCACCACTTACCGGCCATGACAAAGCCCAGCACAAAAACTTAAGAAGTTCGATAGTTTGAGTACACAATCACCTTGTAATTTTTTTAAAACATTACACAGAATTACGGATGAAAACCGATTAAAATCATTTCCACAACATCGATAAAAAGCAATGGCGCTTATAATTTCAGAAACACAATAATTACTGCAGAATTCTGTGTTACCATACAACTACCATAAACTTCTACCACATCTAGTAAAGCTTCTTATAATATTTAGCTATATTCCTCAAACCGGTTGATTGAATAAAGCATTATTTAAAAATACGTATTTAAATTTAATAACTGTACAATATGATTAACTTAAATGCATAAACTTAAAATTTAACCTTCATTAAAATATTTACGAGTATTTCTTTTGTTAGAATTGTGTTTTATATTTTTTCAATAAAATTTTATATAAAATTTGTATTAAAAAGTAAATCTAACATAAATAAACATTCTACCAAACAATCTATACATTTAAATTAATGGCAACATCTTAATAAGGCGTTCATATGACAAACGTCTAAATGTCAAAAAGACATGACAATATACTTCAGAAGTGGGCGGCAGAAATACGGAGAGCGCGCAATTTATCATCACCTACTTTTTCTGTGTAAGCGCCATCTAGTGAAATTCACGCACGATTTTGCCTTATGTTTTGTTTGAATAATGTTATAGCATAATGACTACAAACTGTCCACAGGAAATTAGATTTTTTTTTTAATTTTACTGACAAAATACATCAAAACGTAGGACTTCGCAGTATTCGCCTTTTGTTGTGTTTTTCGTTAAAGGAAAATTTAAAAAATGCCCGAATACGACCCGGTTAGTGACTCACCATAGCAGTTAAGTTTTAAAGAGTAAACTCACCATTTTTATTCCCGTGGTCAAATATGACACTGAGCTTATGCAAACTGTTCTGTCTTGCTTCAGCGAAGAGGCGACGCTTGTTCTTAGGTGGTGTTTGAGAGGCCAACGGCGAAACTACCATCGTCGTAGTGGCCATATTAATTCAGCAACATGTCTGAAAAAAAATCTTATCAAAAACTCATCCAAATTTTGCTTGTATCGCTTCCTTTTACACATCGATACTCTTGCGGAGTAACAAAAAAGTTGAAGAAAGTTGTTCAAGGGAATGTGAATACCCTTAATCACTGTAATAATTTATAATACGGTCAATTAATTTGAACTCAGATCCGATTTTGTGTTAGATAATAATCTGTCGGATTTAACGCTTAGAAATGAAAAAAATACCTTCTTATAAATACGCAACAAACTTTTAACTCATGTTAAATCGCCAATCATGCGCATATTTTCGATGACATTCTTGATAAAAAAGAATAAAATACTTTTTTTACTGTATACAAAAACTATTTACTACTAACCCAAAAAGTATGAAGAACGTGGACTATAAAATGAATGCCAAGGTACGAATAATTAAGAGCATGATACTGACTTCCGTTTAAAAGTCATTAATTAATAATTCTAAAGATTAACATATTGCGTTGTCACATTTTTTTGTTTATTACAAATTACTTTGATTGAACGACCGATTATGTATTCGGAATTTAAATTTCTGGGCCACAGTGGTTAAGTTGTTAACGCCATGAATTTTGGGCAATGGGTCCATAGTTTGAATTTATATAGAAGGAAGATTACCTATCCTCATCTGGATTGTACATGAACAATTATATAATATTATATCTGATAATTGTCCCCAATGCCTTCCCGTTCTAATGGAAACCGATTTTGACCGATTTGTTGCGACTCAATGCAGTACAATGTTCTCTGTTCGTATTATGAGCACGCAAAGTTATTATCGTTACAAATTATTTGAGTCAACGATCTTTTCGCACTCAGCGCATTTGTTTTTTTATCTTAATTCCGACGAGTATTTGTTCTTATGCTGTTCTCTTGTGAGTACCGTTATTTAAAAGTTTATCTTTATGTATTCGCAAAGTTGTCTTTAAGAAATGTCGTTGTTGAAAAAATAAATTGTCGAACAAAATATTATATACATAATTATTTAAATAAAGCTATTCAACGGTTTAAAACGCGATATATATTAGTGAACAGACTCACCTCCTCCCCGGCACCACGGCTGCTGGCTGCCATTTTATGAGGAATTAAGTCTTTACCATACGTAATGCTTAGTATTGCGTTTAGCACGAGAAGTCCTGGGTTTGAATTCCTGGGAAACATAAAATTGTTTCGCCCGGGCAGGGTATAGAAGTCTGATCAACTACTTGTCCGTTAAAAAGAGAAACGGTCAGTGAAACGGACACAGAAATGTGATCGCCCCATGCCCCACGAGGGGGAAGCGGGCTTTTATAATAAAAGTCTATACCTAAATGTTAAAGACGAAAAATAGTTATGGTACTTTAGAATTATTTTCTTACACAACGCCGTGCCGCGGTTGCTGTAAAGTGTCGAAAATTGGTTATTTAATTTGTATAACTGGCGTAAGCTACAGTTTCTAGGTATGTCTGACAAAACTCAAAGAGACTCTAGTACCTATATTCTTTTAGCCTTCTCTTTCTTTTTGAGGAATGACATGGATGGCATTATTACACCACTAAAGCAAGGGGCTTGCAAGTATACGTATTTTTTGACTAACTATAAATAATCAAATCTATAATATCTAGATTTATTCACATAGTTTATTTAATATTCATATTTTTCTTTATCAGAGCTCTAACGATCAACTCACGAAAGCGCGAGGAATGTGTATGGAAGGTATGTTAAAAAAGCAAACTAATTAATAATTTTTAGCACATTGAGTACATACTTATAGAAAATATACCAAGTTAAAATTCTGTATGCATATATACTAACTCGTTGGTGTAACGCGAGCAGTGTATCGAGCTAACGATATGCTTGTCTGTCCTCCTCTTTCAAACAGACTTGTAGTGACTTCGCAAAGTCTAAAGAGTATTTCTTTCAGGGGACCACCACGTGAAGAAAGTCATGCAAGCGCTGAAGATGTGCGAGGACCGAGTAACTTCAAAGTCGTACACCGCAGAGACCTGTCACCAAGAGACAATGGACTTGGTTCATGCACTGGACCACTGTGTAGGTGATAAGGCTTTCAAGCGCCTTAAATAAAGTTGTATGAAATTCATTCGGTTTTTGATTTATCATTCTTGTTTAAGTAAAGCACTTTATCGCTTTAAAATGCGATATATATTTGTTGAACTTATTTGAAAAGTTATCGTAACTACGGCTCGCCATATACCATCTACGCGGAACAGATGGCGCTAGCGTAGCAGATTTTACTTTGTCATCAGAGACATCCTCCATTTTTAGTCTCTCTTTATCTTATTACTTCTCTAAGGAAAAACAAAAAGCCATTCAGGGATCTAAAATTATATATTATAAAGTTAAACGGAGATTGAAATACTACAAATACAAATCTCCTTTAAATAAAACACTTGTAACTGTTTGAAACGCGAAAAATATTACTTATTAGTCAACCATGACCACTGCTGCAAGGGAAACGTCGGGCCGTAGTTAAATCAAAAATAATTTAACCAATATAGTTATTTCGTGTTTTGACGGTTTAACAGTGTTTTATTTAAATACATAATGATCCATCTTCTCTTAAAGCGCGAGTAACACCGAGGGAAGCAGCTAGTTATAAGTGGTCGCAGGACATAATTATGTTTCTCAGCAATATTCGTTGGAAATATCCGGGGAATTTCTAATAGAGTGTCGTGTAATACGACGGGTCATTCTGTCTGTCCTTGATAGGCGCGTCGGTTTACAAGATTGACCTATTTCGTCATGGGATGTAGGTATGCTGTTTAATTGAATATACATTTCAATTCCGAAATATTTATTACATACAGCTGTTACCCACGACGTCGTTCGCGACCCGTCGTTCTTGCGAGTTCATTTTAAAATGATGCGGACATGTTTTTTACCGTATAATGAGAATTCATTGTTTCAAATCTTTCTTTGGTTTTTTACACAGTTGCTTAATTAATATAATCAAAACAATAGATTTAAATAAAACACTTTAACGGTTTAAAACGGGATATATCAGTTAAACTTATTTGGAAATGATTTTTAACTTCGGCCCGACGTTTCGGAGGCTTTGCAGCAGCCGTGGTCACGGGAGACATCAGTTGGTTTCAGAAAAATCATTTTTAATAAGTTTAACTAATATATCTTCTTTCAAACCGTTACAGTATTTTATTTAAATGTGTACTACTCGCGTAAACTATAGACAGTATAAAAATACCTCCTTAGAGACATATTGGGTGGTATATTTTCTTAAAGCAACAATTCTGTAGTATTAAAATCTCGAGTCAAATTTAATTTGAAAATTATATTTTTTCAACAGCCATTGACGTAAATCAGCCACCTCCAAACGTGATCTCTGACACGTGTTTCGCGGATCACAAAAAACGCGATTATAGCATTTTTCCTACTGGTAAATTACGTGTCTTTTTTGTTGACGATTTTTTTTATAACATTATTTAATGTAACATCGCCTCTTCAGCTAACTTTAACGCAAATATTCAACTTACCACAATACGATTTCTTTTGTAATACCCCGGTTAATTATTATTGTTATACATATAATAGGTATGTATACAGGATACAGGTGTGAGGTCCCCGTGGGAATACGAAGCAGGTGTCCTCGAGAAGAACAGCTGATTCGCGGTCATTACCCTTCGAACTATGTAATACCATGTAATGTATTGTGTAATTGGCTATTTACTGACAAAAGGCAACAGCACTGAACGCTGTGGATGTCGGGTCAAGCCCTGTCTGTGTCGTAATCTTCAATTTATAGCCGTTTTTTTTTTTAATTTATATAGTGCCATCATGAGCACAATATGTAAATAATGTTAAAGTTTAAAAATCGAAAATAAATTGAATGAATTTTCAACTTGAACTGGCATCGTGCTGTTGCTCTAACTGAGCTACCAAGTTCTCCACCTCATCGTCGAATTTTGTCAACTGATTTATACATGAACCTCTCGCGCAATTTATTTTCAATTTTTAAATTATATATTGCCATCGTGTGAAATACCGCCTCTGTAGCCAAATGGTTAAACGTATTTAGAGGTCCTAGGTTCGAATCCCAGGGAGACACAAAAATTGTTACGGTCGGGCCGGGCACAGAAGCCTGATTAACTACTTGCCTGTTATAGATCGGATCTTATTTTAAACAAATTAAATCATAAATCATTTATTCATGTAGGTAGCTTAGTACACCTAATAGCGTCAAAACTATGGAATTCTTATTTCTTGTCATTTTGGTATTAAAACTTCTATGCCCTACCAAACAGTTACATCCCCGTAAATTGTGAACTATAAAAATGAGACACACTCTACTAGACTCATTCTCTAAGCGGCTAGTAAATAGCAAGTATGTTTGGCCTAATGAACTACAAAATATTATGTAACTGCATTATTACCTAATACACAGTGCTGTGTGTTAGTCGTTAACTTAATTATCGCAAATCGTTTTGAATGACGTTTAACGTGACGTAAAAGTTTATGTAGGTCATAATCTTGGTAAAATAAGTACACGTTTTTGATGGACTCGTTGATCCAATGGTAGCAATGCTTGGCTAATAATCAACGGATCCTGGATTCGAACTCCAACGGGTCTTATCAATTTATAATTCTGAATCATGTTGGACTTCGTCTGGAAATCTGGACGTTAAATGGGTGGTAGGAATTTGGAAATTCGTTCGGGTTTAGATGCTATAGTATATCACTTGTCTATTTGTCTGTCCTGCCCTATTAAAAAAAGCCTTACAATAGAATTAGATCTTGAACATGTGTGTTTAAAGCGGGACACGAACCATCGCATCGTGGGCCGGTGATCATAACTTGTCATACCCCCTATTTATTATATTAGGCTGCTAGAGGCAGAGTGGCCTAATAACAAAAACATGATTTTCAATGAGGCGAAAAATAAAAATGTGCAATTAGCTAAAACGAAAAGAATGTACTATTATTTGTGAAAGAATTTTGTTTACAATTTTCGGTCACAGTACCTACTCTTGTAAAAAACGCAACTCATAAAATCGCAGTTAGCCTACTTCGCCTCTAGCAGGCTCATATATATAACGATGTATTTGTTACAATCTCTCGAAGTGTAAATGTTTAACTGCTAAAAATGTACATGATGTGAAATTACATATTTCTCTAAGATAAGTAAGTATTTAAAATTCAAGTAGTACATTACGCGAGAGGTGCATGTATCAAACAGTTAAAAAAATCGACGTTGAGTGGCTCAATTGGTTGAGCTCATCATCATCAGTTCATGTTATACCTGAAAATAAATGCATATTTTTATGTTTAAGGAAATAAATGCCATCGATTTCTTTAACAAGCGAGAAAATGAATTATTAATTATTATTGTTTTTTACCGTGTCTTGATAAGGAGCAATTATATCGAGATTGGAGTCGTTTATAGTATTGCCTTAACCCACATTTTTATAGCTGTTAAATAAATGAGGACTTCCTTGGTTGATAATATTTATCAGACAGCATTTTCTCGTTAGGTTTTAACATATGTTTTGTAAATTAAAAAACAAGACTGTTTTGCAAGTACATTTAAAAATGATTGCTTGTATGTAATATGTATTACTTTATAAGATATTAAATACTGTCTGTACACGAGTTGTACACATTTAACGGTTTAAAACCGAAATATCAACTACAACGGAACAGATGCTAGCGCCGTAACAAATTTTCACTTTGACATTAGAGAGACCATTTTTAGTCACCCCGTGTTGCAAAGAATCTAAAACGCCGGTCCGCAATTAAAATAGTTATTAAAGAAGTTAACTAAAATATTTCTACTTTTAAACCGTGTAACGGTATTATATTTACATTTATAAGATTTTTTAAAAGTATACTTTTTCCTCTTTGTTTCCCGCAGATATTGTGTAAGTACCTAAAAAAGTGACCACTTTCCTAATTTCAATAGAAATTCGAAATTATAATTCACAAAGATTCAGTCTGTTATACTTCGGGGCAAAATGATTATTCAATATCGCGATTCTATCTGTTTTCTATGTCAATAAAGTAAGAGAATTTTATCATTGAAAGCACCTGCTAAAAGGTCAGCCCTAGCTGCCCAGGTCACATGTGTGAATCTAGGTAATACCAGTTCTGACGCTAAGCAATTGCTTTGTTTTAGCTGTTTAGTAGCACATTTAAAACTATAATCTTAGTAATATCGGTGACTTTCAAGGCTCTAACTGCTGGGTCACGTACATTCTAAGAAAGTATATAGGCATGTCGTGTTGGTAGATGATACATATTGTTAATTTTTTGTCGAGGTTTTTCTATCACAGAGGACAGGCAAGCATGTTAACTTGATGTAAGATATACCCCAACGGCATAACCTGTAGAGAAGATACGCTATAGATCTATTCTAGCTTGAGAAATTCGGAAAACCACAGACTGAAACTGAAATGTGATCAAACTAGATTTCCTTAATCTATGTACTGTTTGAAGTTATCCAGATTTTCAATACAAAGCCTAACAATTTTCTATAGTTTACGCGAGTAATACACATTTAAATAAAACACTTTAACGGTTTAAAACGCGATATATTAGTAAAACTTATTTGAAAAGGACTTTAGTCTTTAGTCTCCCCGTGACCACGGCTTCTGCAAAGCATCCGAAACGTCGGGCCGAAGTTAGAAATCATTTTTAAATAAGTTTAACTAATATATCGCGTTTTAAACCGTTAAAGTGTTTTATTTAAAAGGTATATATTGATTAGAACATGTCGGACCCGGCGGGGATCGAATCGACCGGATGATTATTAGCAATTCATTGTTACCATTAGGTAACCTCAACGTCTTTGCGTTTCTTTCACTAGTTACGTTTCAATTTGCTAAGAAAGATATATATTTGGGTGTATATCTTATATTCAATCGAGGTAAAGTGTTAATTTGAGATACATATAAGTATAGTTTATAGTTACGTACAGAATCTCTTTGACTCATTTTCAAATTTTAAGCGTCAATAAATAGTACATAGGTTTAGAATGTAAATATTTTCACTTTATTAATGTTTTTCCAGTTCTACAAGCGATTGTTTTAGCTTAAACTTAAATTTACAGACATACATGTGATTTGTGTTATTAATAAGAATTTACTTCACAAAGGACGGAATAAGGTGCTTGACTTACAAAACTATCACTGCCCTCGGTGCGTTTAAAAATTAACTTCCGTACACAGCAGATAAGAATGTACAATGTTTGTTTGTCCTCAATCCTGACCTACATAACTCGCAAGTATCTCAAAGTTTACAAAGAATAAGCTTTATCGTATTTCTTAGGCTAGGGCTGTCAAATTTAGCAGTAGCAAATCCTGTTGATGCGTTTTTACAAGCCGAGGCCGATGCCCCCCTCGGGGCACCCTTGGTCTAGCCGCAAACACGGCGAGCGCTATCGCGCTCGCCCAAAACGCCCGGTTAGTATTCGTGGCAGGAACACAATACGTAAGAGTCCAATCAAAAAAAAAAAATAATATTTCCTCTTGTGGAGTGTAGCCACTGCGTTTAGTAAGATTTTTTTTTTGTTTTGTATTAATGCGCGTAGTCGCATATTAATTTATACAATAACTCACGTATTCACCTTCACCATTTATGTATATAAACCTTTCCTTTTATATTAATAATTAGACTAAATTACATTATGAGTCTTATCACACTCCTTGCCAGTACAAGAGGTAAATTGGTGACCCCGAAAAACTGGCAAATGGTGCATGGGGCTTGGATAATTTCATTTATATGCAAGTAATTGATCTGCCTTCTGTGCCCTATCCGGCCGAAACCCTGTTTCCCCTGCATTCAAAACACATGTGTAAAATCCAATGCTAGACAGCAGATTTTGTAAAATGTGAATATATTTGGGTATTAATGTAAAAATCTGACAAATAAGATTCAGGCGCCATCTATAAATAGGTATGTGTGCTTTTAAAATTCACAGCTATCAAGCAAATAAAGATTGTATCAAACTTTGTAGTATAAACCTGGTATACACTCATAGAAAAAAAATATACATACAAGTGTCTAAATATTTTGTAATCAATAAAGAATTGAAAATGGTTACTAAATATATTAAATACGCTCAAATTTTTAGAAGTCTTGTTCTTTTGATTGTTTTGTTAAGTGTACTGTATTACTGAATAAATATAGTGGCAACCCTATTGTTGAATCCGAAATCCGAAACTAATGAGTTTTCACGCTTATCTTGAGACTAATTGGCAAGTAATTCATATTATCTTAACGTTCTCTACGTCGCGATATTTTTAATCATTAGTCATTTAAATACTGTCTGTTTACGCGAATAGTACACATTTAAATGAAACACTTTATCGGTTTGAAACGCGATATATATTAGTTAAGCTTATTTGAAAACTATTCAAACTACGTCCCGACGTAGCCGTGGTCACGGGCAGACCACGACTTGTCTTCCCGTAACCAAGGCCGCTGCTATAAATGTTTGACTAATATCTATCGCGTTTTAAACCGTTAAAGTGATTATATATAAATTAGTCATTTGTGAAAATACAGTTAAAATCAAATCATGATTTTGTCTCTATTATAAATATATAACTACTGCCTCGTTGGTCTAGTAGTGAGTGACCTCATACAGATCACGAGTTACCGGGATTCGAATCCTGGCTTGGCCGAAATAAAATAAAGAATATAGCATCACCCAGAAGCTTTGTGTAGGAGGTCAACCAACATGTCTTGGCGAGCACTGTTGGCTGTCTACCCGCACTGTAGCAGCATGATGAGTCTACGCTGTTACACCCTTTCTTCTACGAAAGAGGAGATCTATGCCTAGCACGAACATGAAAATGGTGACATTTACGCTGCACTTTTGAAATTTTTTCTTCTTACTCAATAAAACCAAATAGGAAAGCAAATTCAGAGAGATTTTTTTAATGTCTTAGAAATGTTCTACTATACTCAGAATTGTGTGTGTAACAATTAAATAAGAAATATTTTTCACATCGTATGTACTTGTAATTATCATTTTATGTCTTACAGTTTCAAAAATAAAAAAAAAAGGATAAACATGTACCTAGATTCACATCCCGAACTAGAAATAATTATTAAATAAGGTGTACATTACACGTCCTTCATACGGATAAGTTTTAATAGAATTCCTGTATAGAATAAGGAAACTGTCCGTCTGTGTGTCGGGCTAATCAGTCAATATGAAGGAGAATGCAAATTATTACAGTCACGTAAATGCTAGGCGGAAATCGATCGGGGATTATAAATTAATAATGGCTATATGTACTTTTGTATGTTAGTTTTTTAAAACGAAAAAGCTTTACAATTGCTTATATAATATCTTAACGAATTCCAGAGAAACATAATTAGGAGTTTGGGTAAGGCCGGGCTGGTTGGAGTAATGGTAGTAAAGTATTGTTAATAATCAACGGGTCGTGGGTTTGTTCCACACCGGGTCCAACGTATTTTTAACAAATTTAGATTTTTTTTAAACATGTCGGACTTCATTTGGAAATCTGGATATTAAATGGATGGTAGGAATATCGAAATTCCGTCCGGGTCACGAACCACCTGCAACTGATGAAAAAGCCCTGAAGATATAAATCACGTTTCGGTATCAGTCTGTACATTTCCGAATATCCAAAGCCAAAAAAGGTCGACGGCCGCTTCTATCATTAAAAAAAACATACTAATGTCGGTTCAACGCCCCATGTTTCGTATTATTTATGTCTAACAGTATGTGGGTAACAAAAATGAGACCCAAAAACTGGCTGATAAGAATATATGTGGATGAAAGCGTATCATATGGTTATCGCCAGATAAAAATGCCAATAAGGAAACCCAATTTCTCATATCAAATAATCAAGCACTTGATGGTCCCAGGAATTGGTGAATAATTGTTTTGATTCGATGTGTCTCAATCAAAGTCTGAATCAGCTCTTATTAAGAGAAACCGTGTCTTGAGTCAGTCTTCGAGGATCTCAATTATTTTTCAAATCGCGAACCTATTTATGTAGTTGAGCATTGTTCAGTTGCTGAGGTGTGGCATTGTCGTTTTAGAAGTAGGTTCATATCCCGATTCTGGGAGTCTGGACTTTTTTTAAACGGTTCGGGACATCTCCCTTTAACTAACATTCATGAATTGAAAGATTAACATTGAAATTTGAAGTAACAGCAAGTAACCAACTGAAGTTTGATGTGATAACTTTTTATGCTTGTCCAGCTTAACTTTCATTTTATATAAAAACATCTTGCTTTTTTATAATGCATTTTAACACAAAGCTAAAATTGTAATTTGTTCAATCTTTCCATAGTACGTTTTTTATTTTAGTTGTATTTAGCTTTATATACTTTGAGCTAATAAACGGATTATACATATATTTATATAATTATCATAATCTAGAAAAAAAAATAGTATAAAATTTGATATTCTCAGCTCTTTTCATACTTTTTTGACAACAACTACCACTACACTTGCATGCATATGACACGAGTTTTTTGCACTTTCATATCCATAGTTAGTTCGTGCCTGTTTTAAATCGTTGTAAAATAAAATGCACACAATAACGACAATAAGGTAAGGGCCGTGACCTGTGATTCACAGATGTCCTCATTGAATACTTAGTAAAGTCAAGGTAACGTGGTGTTTATATACGTATTCAAATGTGAAAGAAGTTATGTTTTACGAGTGATCGTGAAATAATTTTTAGTCTACAAGTGATTTTAATACAAGTTAGTATCCATGTAACGGATATGATGGAGGGAAGACTACTTCATTCAAAATTTTCATATTCGGAATAAATTCTCGAGAAATTCTACTAATATATTTTTTTATTCGTCACTTACAATGATGTGTGAATTCCCGTTCCCCTCGTGGGGCATGGGGCGAACACATTACAGGCAAGTAATTGATCAGACTTCTGTGCCCTGTCCCGACCGAAACAATTTACTGTTACCCCGGAATTCGGACCCAGGACATCTAACGCTTAACATAATGCTTGGCAACACGTTTAACCATTTACCTACAAAGCGCTCATAGCGAAATATATATTACTAAATATATATTTCGCGTTTTAAACAGTTAAAGTGTTTTTATAGGACTAAGGATTAGTTAAAGAAATAAACAAGATTTTTGAAAGGGTTTTTAAATAGAAGCATATGTCATGTTATATGATACAGGGGTATAATATATCTCACTCGGGTAACTTTTTGTGAACAGCCTTTAAACCTATATCGTGACCTCCCTCCAAGGCAATCAGCATAGACATATTAAAGTACTGTAAGGAACATAAATAACATCTAGATTATGATCACATGGTATAAATCATAACATGTCATTTTGCACACATCCTAATTCTAATACAACAATATCAAGGAATTGTGTTTGTTTATTACTCTTTTACACGAAAATTTTAATAAATAATATCATATACCTACATAAATCATTATTAAAATTTTATCTTTGCACAAAAACGTAGGTAGTTAACTTTTAATTAATTAGTAAAGTAATTTAGTTAAATATTGTACTGTTTATGCGAGTACTGCGACTCCCCCCTCCCGTGGCTACGGCTGCTGCAAAGAGTCTTAACTCTTAACTCTTAAACGTCGGATAGAGATTCGCGTTTTAAACCGTTAAAAGTATTTTGTTAAAAAATGTAATTTTATTTTGAAAATTTGGTATCGCTATTCTAGCATACATCGTGATATTAATCTGTTACCTTAAATGAAATCTAATAAGTTGAACTATTCACGTAGTTATTTTTAGAGTTTTCTTTTGTTTGTTGTTTTTACAAACAAAAAGAAACGTTAATATATATTTTACAAATGTACTTATGTGATACGAAAACAAATATTACTAAACAATATAACTAAAACAAACGTTTATAATCTATAGCTTAAAGATTAAAAATATGTTAAAACCTTTACCAGTTTAAAATACTCAAATCACAATCCTCTGTTTACTTGACACTATTTTCACACTATCACTAAAAGGGCGGGAAATTAGCAGCACGAAGCGTGCTATCACCGCCAGACTATAAAACTATCTGATTTGATAATGCGACGAGTATGTAGCGTAAACAAATAATCGGCTTTAGTTTGATGTGCTAAGGTCATTTATACTACGGACAATATATAATTATTTAGCATTTTCCCATGCTATATAGCATTTTTGTCTGTCAAGTAGGTATTGTATTCGCAGATAAAAATATAGTTATTTTTCAATGTATAATTCTTTAGCTTAATTTTAAGGATTTTTCTTTGATTATACTTTAAATCTTCGCACTCGAAACTGTTTTCTTAACAAGGTGACGCAGCTGTTTTGAAAAAATGTATTAGATTTACTTAAAATCAAATAAATTTAAACCCGAGTCACACAAAAAATAATTACTATTCGTGAAATATAAGTAAATTCGTAATTTTATAGGAAAAATATAATTATTAAACACAACTTATAGTAATAATTTTATGATTATAAAAAAAAACTCATATTCTTAAAATATTTAAGAGCGACATCTAGTTTTCAATGTTTTCTACGCTATTTGAATGTACCACAGACTATAGTGTTGTTTATTTTGTCTATTATATTCTGTATAGCTGTCAACTTAGCGTTGTATGTATATAATCTATGTTTATTTCATGTCTTGTGTGATCTTGTGGTTTGAAGCTTAAAAGCAGTAAGACGCCCGTGTTTTATTTAGAAAGCAAACTGTAAATTAGATTTTGATTGTCGGATTCAGTAATAATCATGTAAGTTATATGTTCGACCAGTGAAGCTATTTAAAAACTACGGGTAATATTCTACTTCATAACCTTGTTTGCAGGGCAACAACAACGAAACCGCGTTCTGAAATGACCCTAGAAGAGTTATCAAAGATAGAGGAAGAAGAATTTAGTACTGGTCCTTTGTCTGTATTAACACAATCTGTTAAGAACAACACGCAAGTACTGATAAACTGCCGAAACAACAAAAAACTTTTAGGACGCGTCAAGGCTTTCGACCGGCATTGTAATATGGTTTTGGAAAATGTCAAAGAAATGTGGACTGAAGTGCCTAGAACCGGAAAAGGAAAGAAGGTAGGTTATTTGTCATGATAACTGTTCTTGTAGCACCAATATGATGGTGGTTATTACAAGTCTGGTCCTTAACTTATTCAGTTGATTGGTTTTACTATTCATATAAAACAAACATAATTATGATGCATAGAAAAATTAATCATAAATCCGTTTCATCGACATGGCAACATGACTAAAGTTAGAGCATGTTTAAACCTATAAACTACTAGCTGTGCCAGCGACTTCGTCTGTGTAGAATAGTAATTTTGGGCATCCTAATTAGTTTTTCCAAAACCCTTCATGTTTATAAACCTAAGCTGTTACCCATGATGTCAGTAGCGTCCCTTCCCGCCGATCTTGTTAGTTAGTTAATCTTTACATTTAGCATCGTGATCTTTAATCACTTAAAGAGGAATCATTATTTCATACATATTTTTTTAGTACCTTGAATCGTTATTGCAGCATACGCCTCCATATTGTGAATAATTTCCCCGTTTTGTTCACATTTCTGATCTAACAATACCTCCATTAGTCATAGCACGATGTTTTATAGCCTAACCTTATAGCCTTGCTCAATAAATGCGCTAACCAATACCAAAGAATTTATCAATTCGAACCCGTAGTTCCTGACATTAGCGCGTTCAAACAAACAAACTCTTCAACTTTACATATTAGTATAGATTCTTAACAACACAAACTACATAAATTGTGATTGCAACATCGGCTACACAGAGCCAAAATACTTCCAATAGCTCAACCAGACTGACAATTATTAATCTCTTTCAGGGTAAGGCAGTGAACAAAGACAGATTTATCTCTAAAATGTTTCTACGAGGAGACTCCGTGATCTTAGTATTAAGAAATCCACTTGCTACAGCAGCAGGAAAGTAGATAGGAGTGTGGTAAAATTAAGTGTTGTATTTAAGTTTAGTTTAATTTGAAGTACACTGTAATTAAACTCATTCGATTTCTTAATGGCGGTTGATTGATTGATACCTGAGCATAAATCTTTGTATACCTGGATACCAATAAACCAAGTTTTGCACAAATATTGTTTCAATTCTTCTTTGTGGCTCTAATAAAAGTTATAATTTGGTCCAGGGGAATAAAAAAATGTAATGTGTTATGTTTCTTAAGAAACTTAGAATGCTTCTATACAAGCTTATAAGAGTGAAAGGAAGGTAAAAATACAAAATGCAATAAATCACTTTATTTCAATCAATAAATCATTTGTAAGCTAACAAAATCACGTCACTACTTTTGTGACTAACGGTGCGAAAAATTAGTCTTTATAAAAATAATACGAGTTTATATTTACCACTCAAGTCAAGAAAACTCGCGTCTAGTTACAGACACAGTCACGTCCAAAGGTCCCAACACTTAAATACAATTTCTTTGGTTGTATTTACATTTATGTACTTTATTTATCCTAACATAATGTACAAATAGAACAGTAGGAAAATCATCTCGGATCAAATAGAAGGTTACAACTGAATTGATAATTATGAATTCTTAACTATTCAGAAATTTATTTGAGAAATAAATGTTTTTGGACAAAATTCTATGTACTGTATATGTATATTTTTTATATTACGAGTTAAAATTATTTAATATCCTGTATATTAGTTTCACATTGTATTTTTATCCATTAACTGACTACTTTATATGTATTGCTTCTAGAATGACCTATTAAGCAACTAGCGATTGTTCTTAAGTTTAATTTCGTTCAATTGAATTTGCGATGAGCACCATCCTTTGTACACTGGCAGTGAATTCATATAATTATGGACGAATGATTTTACTACACTGTATTTAGCTTCTCTTATCTTCAGGAAACATTTCACATTCTATGAATTTTCTTTCAACTATTAAGTATGTGAGGAAAAGAGACAGACAATCACACTGTCAATACTAGCTAAAACACAATTGTATTATTAAATTTATGAGCGCTTACACTTTGACTAATGAATTTTTAAGTATAAAATGAAACTGGCAACAGTTGCTCATATCTATTTTACTATTAAAATAAAAGCTTAAAGCATCCGTTATATGTAATTGTAAATATGTAAGCACTCTTATATATTTAACAATTGAAATCTTTTATAATCAACAAGCTACTCCCTTCATTTATCTATGAAGTGACTCAAGAATAGTAACACCTTTGTATTACTTCATTTTCTATATAGTAATTCATTGATTTGTTTTTATTATTCAAAACCTTTGAGTCACTAGTATTCCGCGCTAGCACCAAGTTATAATATCATTATCAATAGATTCTCTATATGCATTCAATGTCACTCATATATTCATCAACTATAAAAATACAAATTACTTCTAATATTTAGCTTTTAAGACACTTATATTCCGATATTACTTAAGGAATTTTATATTTACAGAGATCGATAACTTAGGGTTGACAATTTCTTCGTCTTTTCTGTTAGGTCTGCTCAAGGTTAACTTGATGTTCGGACCTATTGCTTACTTATATATACACAGTCGTAACAAATTCACAAAACCACGCGATATCAAAATATGAACACTTTTCGACTAACCAAAAATAATCTCTATGCACGTTTATCACGGTATAATTTTATTTAACGGTTTTGTAAATAAAATTGGTAATTCACACTGTTTGGGGGAAAGATATTAGTTACCTATTTAAATTTCTTATTACAGATATATTATGCTCGACTAGAATCAAACTACTGTAGCTGCACTTTTAGTAATCCGTAATATTAAATTTATAGCATTTGATCGTTACACAGCAGTCTTAATTTCTTTTGTAATTACTTAATAAATTCTATGTCCCAATAATTTAGAAAAAAATCAGATCTTTTTAACACAACACAATAGTTTCCTCAACTGCGATAGCAAAATATAATATAACGTTGTTTATTTTCTTTTTGAAAATTTGTTTAAATTACACTATGTAAGTTAATGCTATTTCTTGCCAGTAGTAATTTCTTTACCTATCGACTTTCTATTTTCAAATTTTTGCTGTAAACTGGCAACATTAGACGGTTTTGAGGTTAGTTTCGTTGCATTTGTTTTAACGTTGGAATCGACCCGTTGTACGAGCGTAGTCGGCTTAGGAACTACTTTAGGACGATTCTTGTTAAGATTATCCGCTATTGCTTTTACATTAGAGTCCGTTTTCGAAGTCACACGATTGTTCGGTTTATCTGTCACTTTCAAATTACTAGAAGAGTTTACCGGTTTCAAGACCGGTTTATTTGTCGTTTTTTTATCAACAGGTGTCGGTTTTACAGGCGGTCGGTTGTCACTTTTCGTTATATTAGGCTTATTTGCTACCTTAGGAGGTTCGACCTTGTTATTGTTAATTACATCGGGTGCTTTAAGATTTTTCGCATCCACACAACTGGATACGATGTCAGGGCTGTTCGTTATTTTTGTGTTAATGTTTTTCGTAACCGCTTTTGGCGATGGAGGTACGTTTTTAAATGTGCTTGTCCTTAGACCAGGGGGGGTCACTTGTCTTGAAAAAGTGGGTATTTTCGAATTAGCTTTCAAAGATGGAGACGGTGGTTTTTCTATAGGGTCTTCCTGCATCCTCGTTGGTATATTGACAGCCGATGGGTGCAGATAGCCACTGCTGGTTGTAGATTTCGCGCCAGAATTACTGTAAACGCTCTCAGGCGTTTTGTAATCTGCATTCATGTAAGTGCTCTCTCTATTCTCTGCGTTCTTCTTCTCTCTCTCTTTCTTTCTTGCTAGCGTCGATGTCGAGTAGATAGAATCAAAGTTGCGATTTTGTATTTCGTTCACAATTTCTCCGAGAAGTCCCATACTTTCTGTACTTCCTGAATTGGAAGTGATGGGTTTCGGAGTATTATAGACTTCCGGGGGTGCTTGCGCGACCGTTTTTATTGGAAGCGTTGCCCCGGGGAATACTTTCGCGTGCTTTTCTGGACTTTCTTCGATGATAGCATATATGTTATCGCTAGATTCTTCATCGATATGTGCCAATGGCGCTGGCTTTTCCTCTATACAGTCAACATAGTCCGTTGATTTTATGTCAATTTGTTTTGGGCTTTGATATATAGATGTTTCTTTGTCTGGGTTCGGTAATGGAGGAGGCGGAGCTGTAGGGCGTCCGATGCCAGATAAAGGTCTGGGCACACCAGGCGCTTGTCTCATGGAGGCAAATGATTGCAGAGCCGGTTTCTGCGAAGCCGGTGCGCGCATACTCTGTGCTCTATTTACGAAAGCTTTAGAATCATCACCGTCTTCAGAATCAGACACAACTGGCACAGTACCTATTGGCAATTCTATACCTTTCTGAAGTATCGGGTTCGATATTTGCATATTACGTAACGCAACTTTGTCTACCGTTTTGGGAACCTTTATTTGATGATTCGGATTTTTGGGTAAAGAGTGGCTTCTCTCGACTGGATTTCGTTCTTTCTCTTTCGGTTTGTCGTGTTTGAGAAATGAAGCTATTCTATTTAGGGAAATACCTTCTTTAACCTTCTTGGGTTCTTCAGGCAACGGTTTTTGCGGGGCGTTACTAGCTGAATACATGCTTAGCGGTCGCTTTGGTAAATCTGGCGTGATAGTCGGAATAGTGGGCGCCGCGCGTATTGGACCTAATGTTTTCGATCCCTGGAGAGGAGATATAAGTTCTTTGGCAGTGCACGTGGATGCCTCTAAAATAGGGCTAGAGATAACCGGTCTTGGGGCGGGGATCGGTATTACAACTTCATCCGTTTTTTCAGAGCTCATAAGAGCTTTGATTCGGTTCTGTACTGAACTATTCGTTCTCTTTATGGACGGGCTCGTTTTTGGGCTAGTTCTAGCCGCATTCGGTACGATCGGTAAGGGCGGAGCGGATCGTAAAACCGGTTTCAACTGTCCTATATTTTGGCTGTTACTACCGCTTCTGTGGACTGGGGTAATTTTCGCACTTTTCGGTGCATCGCTCTTTATTGCAACAGCTTTGGAGCCTTCGGTCTGTGCGTTGTTCTTTTCGATGGGTGTAAGAGAGAAGCCTTTGAAATTACCAAAGAATGTGACTGACGGGTTAATGTTCCCCGCGGGGCTGTGTTCCGAGTCGCTTCGTAAGAGACTGGAACTCATGTCATCTGGGTTGGAAAGTGTATGAACGCTCACAGCCTGAGTGTTATTCGGCGCGTTGTTTTGGAAGTTCGAAGCAAACTTACTGGCACTTCGGGATAGACGTCGTTGCAAACTTGACTTCTTTGGAGATGGAATTCTGAAAATCAGAGGTTCAATATTCATTCGTCGAATATAAAACTATAGTTAAACAATTAATTTGCCAAATATGTATATGTATGTTGTATTTTTAGTACTGTCATGCTCTTAATATGCGCTATGCAGAATAGTTCATTACCTAAGCAACATGCTGTATATGTTGTAGGCAATATATATACAACCAAAAGTCTCATGCACAATATATCCAAATTATCGGTAGGTCTAAATATAGATAAATTTAGTAGTCAACTTACAACTAATTAATGAAAAAAGCACAAAGATTAGCACCATAAAAACAATAAACCACTCACCAAGCAAGTGCACAATAGGGAAGAAGATCTAGTTTATGAAAAGAAAGAAAATTAATGCGTGATTTTATTGTGACCAACCCATACAATGAACACAACATTACAAATTATAAAACGGGACCAGAATTTTACTTCATCAAAAGAAAAATTAAATATCAACTAGCAGATAGACACGATCAGAATGTTTGTAGCGATCTGCCATATTATATAGTCTAACATAATGCTTATTCTGGTCTGGTTTTGTTCTACGAAGTATGAATTCCTTCTACAACTACATGCTACTAAAATACAGTGGTACAAATTAGTTTTGGTTAGTATAAAAAATTAAGCTTAATTCTTACTTTAGTGTAGTAATTCATAATAATAAACTATTTTGTACCAAAATTAAAAAACAACGTACAAGCAAGAACAAATAGAATTGTAAAACAACAAAATACGCTTAGTCAGAAAAGCTATTTTATGTTTCCTCAACAATAACTCTAGCCTCTCTCTCGTCTACCATAAACTTGGGTGAAGGAGATAGACATACATTTGTGTGTATGTAGTATTTATAAGTAAGTTTGTGTAAATATCCTTTTTATTCATTATTTCTTAAAATTAACCTTAAAGTAATTGATTTTTGGCCATTCAATCACAGTTCAACAAACAAATAACGATCGATTTTGCTAGTATAAAAACCACAGACTCTGCTTGCATCTTAAATTCGCATGTCTTTTTTACTATACGATACTTTCTTAAGCTCAGCTCTTCTTGATAATACATCAACTTGTGGTATAGGTTGAAAAACGTCACGCAAATTTTTAACTCTATCAGTTGACTCCATTTGTCTGTCCCCTTTGTCAATACTTTTGACAATTTTGTCATTAGTAGTCGACACTAATCCAGCGGTGACTATATTGTCTTTAGTAAATTTCTGAGCTGTCTTGTTGTCTACTCTTGTATTTACATTTTTAGGGCTATTCATATGTATATCTTGAATTATCTTAGCGTTAGTCGTAGAAGTGAGACCGGCTTTAACAATTTCTATTTTCCTAACAGGTGTTGCATTACCAACTAAATTAATATTGGGATTAGATTTCATTAATTCAGTACTACCGGTGACTATAATGTCATCTTTATTTATCTTTCTATTAAACTTTTTGGTAGTCTCTTTACGCGTTGCCTTGAAGACATTAGGTAGTATATCTTTCCAATTTCGACTTTTTCCATTTGCAACACTTTTTATACTTTCATAATCATTGTCTATATTTTCATAAATGTTTTCTTCTTTCTCATTAACTTCCACGTTTTTCGGTTTGTCTTTGAATACGAATAGTTTAGTGAGGGATTCTGTGTGCGAATACTTAGTGAAGTTGAAAGTGAGTTTGGGTTTGCAAAATGACGGTTTAAGGGGTCGCTTGAGAAGGTTGTGTACGTACGTTTTCCGCGGTTTCTTCCACCAGAGCAGCACGTTGTGGCGCGTGTAGTACATGAGGAATAGGACGAGCAGTATCGATGGCAGGATCCCGAGGAATATGACGTACATGGCCACCATGAAGTTTCTTTGAACTGTAAAAAGGTGTATTTGTTTAGTGGAATTTTAAATCAATAAATATACTGGTTTTTCGATTCTATAGCCGGATCGGTTTTTTATGTTTAACTAAACATAAAGACGGTTAAATTTACAGAAAAATAAAGGCCAATCTTGTTGGACTTCAATCTGTTCATTTTATTGAGTAAGATATAAAGGTAAAATACATACTGCTAGAATCTGTGGCTGGTCCTGAATCGTATGACCCTCCTGGACCCGGTAACGCACACAAAGGCGGGGCGAAGCCTGGCTCGCAGTGACAGTGACCTAATATGGAAAATAAAATCCATTATTAAAATAAAAATCTTATTACCTTTTCGATATTACTATTCGTAGGTCTAGAGCAGTGTCTCGCAAACTGTGTGCCGCGGCACACTGGTGTGCCGCGGGAGAATGTTAAGTGTGCCGCAAAAGATTTTCCAAGTTGCACTAGATATTCTGAGATTAATCTATAAACCAATTTCTGATAACTATAAAATTACCCAAAAAGTAATAATTTAACTTTAACTAAATAACCCAGAACGCAGGTACTCGTAACAACAAGATGCACAAGCGAGGGCGAATTGGTTAGAAAAGCACTGGGCGTGGTTTTTCTCCCACTCAACGTATTTAATAATGTAATTTAGCTTAGTGTGCCGCGGAAAAAAAATTCATCAGTTAGCGTGCCGCAGACTAAAAAAGTTTGCGAGACACTGGTCTAGAGGTTAGTAAGCTCGAATATGAAAATCGAATATTGCTACGGTGAGGTACAGCTCGAAGTAGGTGTTTGAGCTGGGAGCACGTTAAGCTCTTGGTCCCGTTTATCATTAGAGCAATAGTAATTGAAGCCCACCAACACACTCTGGAGCAGCGTGATGCGTCTGAGAGCTCGTATAAGATTAGTGCCCAGTAGCATTAGTAATTTGAAGCGATTCAGCATTACCTTCGGAATTACAGACGCCATGCCCTGAACAATTGGACGGACAGTCGGATGTTTCCTTTCGCGAGACTTCGGCTATAACATCCTCTACTGACACGCACTTGCTGCTAAGGCACATCTAGGGGAAAATTCGTATTACAATCTATTATGGAGACTTCGCGTTTCAGCAAGCTTTAACGAATATTTTTCGAACTATTTAGAATTTAATATAAAAAAAAACCTAAAAAAATAATACTAGAAAGACGCCATTACTGTCAATGTATTAGTAGAAAAGTAGAATTAAGTATGTTTGAAGTTAAGGTGAAGTATACGTTTAAATAAAACACTTTTAACGGTTTGAAACGCGATACATATAACTTTATAACATCAACATATATTGCGCGTTTAAAAAAGTTTAAAGTGTTTGATTTAAATGTACAATATTAATTATTTTATTCATTACTCTGTTGTCCCCACATTTGGCACCATCTGGCACCATGCCGGGGTCCACATCGCTCAATCCCAGATCAATCATGGCTGTCCGGCACGGGATTATTGAACCTGAAAAGATTGACATTCAAAAAGTGAAACCTCTTAATTATATGAGGAAAAGAATGAATGTTTTATGTCTTTGGATGGTTTTTACGATATAATATTACAAAGTTCTTGAAAGAGATTTTCTGAAGTATAGGTAATACGAACCGTTAGATCACAGTTGAATGCTTATTAAGAAACAGTACAGATCGCGTTTAATTTACCAGGATTCAAATCTTACGACGTATTAAGATGTAATATGAATTAATAACAAGTAGTAGTAAGAATTAGAAGTAAGTAAACCAGGTTTCTTTAACCGAAAAGGGGGAGACCCTGACATCCTTAGCCGGTCAAATTACTAGAGACGAAATTAAAAAAATATATAGTAAAAAGCGATATTAATGATACGTTGTTAATAAAATTACAAAAAATCAATCAATCAAATTAACTAGCTATATCTAATGACAAACAATCAGTCAAAGACCAGACAATATATTTTACCATTATTGTTAATAAACGTCGCAGATAGCAACGACACAGACTCCATTCCGAATTCCAGTCGCTCATTGAGATGTCGACACTGAAGTAGGCCGCATAGCGCATTCTGTGGCCGACATTTGAAGAATGAAGATGAATTTTCTCGCTCATACCCGCAGTTGCCGTTTCTATAACGATAAGGTTTACGTATATCTCTTGATCAGTCTCGTTGAGAATTGGCTTTTATATATAAGGCAATAAAGTGTATTTTATAGACAGAGAATTGCGATGATTATGTTCGAGAAAAGATAAGTAAACTAACTTGTCTCCTTTGACATTCATAGCGAAATAGCAGCGCTGGTCTGAACTTTCGCCTGTGGATCCCCACAGTAACTTGCATTGGTCTGTGTGGGTGCGACACGAGCCACGCACGCAGTACGCCTGAAAGATAGAACAAAAAAAACTTTGGTCCATTTTTAATAATAGAGAATATTTTTTTAATTAATAAAAATCTTCGACATTGAAGCAGGACAAACCAGTATTTATTGTCAAGAAAAGAAAAAAGTAACTCTAAGTAAAACTCAGTAATCAAAATTAACGAGCACTCCACAAAATGTGAGCCAATGTGCCAAAGTTCTCTCATTAGGATCTAAAAATGTCCTTACCCGATCGTTAGAACATGGCGTGGCATCCATCTTGAACACGTCCTTGGGACAAAATTCTGAGTAGCCGGTGCAAAATTCGGGAAGATCACACTCTTTGTCTGCACTTCGACATATTGTACCGGCTGATTTCGGTCTACACGTCTGAAAAAATATTATATTAAATCAAATAAAAGTAAGCAAACTAATGTTGCTACATTAAAAAACTTTTATGAGTGAAAATACCGCAGTCAGAATATAAATAAAAAAAATACAATTCCTAAATCATAAATATACGAAAATTCAACTCCAGAAACACGTGTTTTATTTAAATAACTCTTTAAATTGTTACCATTTCTGCATTGTCACAATTTAAAGAGTAACAAAATAACGTAAAAGTCGGTTTTTGAAAAATTGGACTGTTATATATCACGTTTTGAACCGTTAAAATTGTTTTATCGTGTCAACTACAGACAATGCCAACGAGTATTATTCATAAGTATTGGATTTAAGTTTCAGTTTATTGTGCACCTTTTAGTGCAATTTAAATGATTTCTAGATTTACCTGCGTATCACAACATTCGCCAACAGCACAAGTAGCGTTCGCCCGTAACGTACAAGTCTTGTGATCGCAGCAAGACCTACACGCGGCCGCAGGATTTAAACCGCAATCACACTGCTCACCTGCTTCGACGAAACCATTGCCACACGTCGGCGAGTCGAAGAGTTGCTTGGGCTTATTGCTGTTAAAAAATAATAAAACATTATTTGGAAAAGGATATAACTGGTTCACTATTCATAACCACACGACAATGCAGAAAAAACTCAAGTATGGCGGGAAGAATTCTATCCTAATGAAATTTAAAAATAAAAACATGACCTTAAAAAATATATTTCAAATAGTTCACAAGATTGTCCCACAAATAAGTAAGATTTATTATTGCGACATGTAGTGTATCATAGCTCGAAGGACCAAAAACTATGGAACGTTATTGCATATCTCAATAAATAGTTTACTTACATATAATAAATTAAAAAGGTTCTATTCAACTACCAACCGTAAGCAATAATCCATTCCCCTTTCAAAGGACAAAGCCAGTGACCGAAGACTACACGATGACCAATGTGTCGGAGTTACAGAGGTACTAGATGGACTCATTATACACTTGTCATCTGGACATTCGCAATCCGCCTCTGTATCGTGTTCCATACCAAAGTTGTGGCCCATCTCATGGGCGATCGTGGTTGCTACTAGACCGATGACGTCAGAATGGTTAGTGGCCACCCCGCCCGAGAAGTTATAGGTACAGATAGGACCTTTGAGGGCTTTGCCTACGACACCATCTTTGAATTTTTGACGGCTGCAAAATATTAAAGACTAGGTTATATTAAATAGACTGTATTTTAGTTATATATCTATAAATTTATTTCTAAATAGGTTATATATGGTCGAAAAAGTGTTGTACTGATTTTATTGAGGTACTAACGTCAATAGATGCGCGTTGTCGTTAGGTATTTCTCTAAGCAATCTGTCGCGCCGGTAATGTAGGAACGATGTTAGCGTCTTATCTCCGTCCTCTTCTAGCGTTATTTCATCCCGTTCTGTCCAAACTACTATACCGACTAGTGCTATGAAGATGTTTAATGGAGCATATACCTAAAAAAAGAGACATTTATAATTATATATTTCAATTGATTATGAATAATTCTATATATAAAACTGCATAACATACACATAAGTCGTTTACATAAGTCGAAATAGTTTTTGGAGATACATGGGAATAACTGAGACGGCTCGAAGGACCATATTATTTAAGACATATCGGATTTGTAGATTAAAAGAAAAAATGTGTTTTATGCTTACCGAGTTAATAATATTAGCAACATCCTTAAAACGATGGTGTATAAGTTCTATGCTTTCGCCGTTTGCCAAATACTCCTTGTTATCAGCCACCAATACCAGTTCCACGTATCGGGACAGTTTATTCACGTTGAAGGGGCCACGAACTTGTGTATCGTCGAAGGCCTCACGTTTGTACTGAAACGACAATGTTTTACATAAACCGAGTATTTGATAAAGAAACATCAATCGTTATTGGTCATATAAAACCGTGCCGTGCCTTAAGCAAAGAACATATATGTTTCTGATTGTGTAGATTTCAGTTAATAATGACATCGAGGACAAATTGTAAAACTTACTTTACTTAATAATAGTAAAATCTTACTAATACGACTATTTAAAAGTCACAGTGCGCTGGATCAACGGGTTACTGAATTGAATGCATTATCCTAGACCAATGTTACGACAAATGCGCCAGCGCAGTGTGCCGGATTAGTGAGATTTAAATACGATCAACTTCTTACATAGGAGCTCTTAGTCGTAGCAACGCTTAACGTAATTTAATTACCCGAGAAACTCTGCTCTGTTGTATATTCTTCTCGCTATTGTACCTCTCCAATAAGGGCGGGTCGTAAGTTTTGTTCCCAGTTACGCCACCCATGTAGCCACAGCTAAAGTTAGTCTTCAAATCCGAATGGTCGTAAAAGTAGTGATGGGAATCGAGTGTGTTATCTGTTAATTTAGGTAACAGTTTAAAGAAATTTATTTGTTTTGTACAAACTATTTTAATTAGGTGATAAATTATTAAATACTAATTCAAAACCTTATTTATACATGTGATGATGACTCACGGTTGTTTCATGTAGATTAAAAATCCATTTTAATTTTTAAATAAAACACTATTAACAGCTTAAATGGGCAATGGGGAAATGGGTGAAATGGTCGGCTGATGACGTGGACTGATCACCCGTCCTACCACAGGTGTCCCCGAAAGAAAATAATAATAACAGCTTAAAACGCGAATTGTTTAAGTTAACTTTTTTACAATTTATTTTAACTACGGCCCGACGTTTCGAATGCTCTGCAGCCGTCACATTTTAAATTACAATTATATGACACGGACGGGACTCGAATCCACCTCAACGCCACGGCTGCTCTTACCAATTAAACTCCCAGTACCGCTCGTCCTCATCGAATTTGTTTCATCTTAATTTTTTTCTCAGTGAAAGAAAATTGTACATTAGACAGATGTGAAAAATCACCTTCAGCTGGCTCCAAGTAGAACATCTTCTTGCCGTCGAACACGATCCCTTTGAGTCCGTGGCAAGTCGATACGGCTACCCAACTCCCTGACCTGCCCCTAACCGTCCCGTGATACTGGCATATATCCAGCTCCTGAAAATCAATAGATCGAGATTAATACGCGAAGATTTACGTAACCCAATACACTTAATTGTCCTTATATAGTTAATTAGCTGTGTCCGAGAGAATAGTTATTTTAGGCATCAAAATTTATTTTGGCAATCAACCTCCTCATCTTTATAAGTCTTAGCTGTTGTTACCACGACGTCGTTCAGTCGAGTCTATCTTTAGACATAATACTATCGCGGACAATTTGTCAGATCGTTTAATATGGAAGCATTCTTTCAAATATGTTTTGGTTTCTATTAGCGTTCTGCAGCACACGCAACCAAAAGCGTCCTGCAGCATACGCAACCAAAAGCGTTTTGCAGCACACGCAACCAAAACCCTCAAAGACTAATAATTTCCCCTACGTTTTCCACATTTCCCTCTGCTTCTTTGCTAGAGCCTAAAGCCTTCTTCGGTAAGTGCTCTAACCAACACATAATAATTTCTAATTCGAAACAATACTTTTTGCGATTAGCTTGATAATGATAATATAGATTTATTAGCTGATAATGACGTGTTAAGTTACTAAGTTATTAACAAAAAAAAAGTATAATACATATATAACTAACGGCGGGTTGCGATACGTTACCTCTATCGTTGGTCTGTGAAGTACCGTCTTCCCATCCTTCTGGTAGCTGATCACGTGATCGCCAGCGACCACGTTTTCATTCAGCCTGAGGTCTAGGACGTAATCCTCGCCCCGGGAGTTTACAGTCACTGTCACCTCGCGGTGATGCGTGCCGGTCTGAAAATATACATGGAAACGTAATGAAAATTAGGGACCAAATATTTATTTTTCATCGAACACACGTTTTTTTATGATAGAGGAGGTAAGACAAACATGAGTATCACTAGATGGTAGGGTAAATGCCCTAGCGATATGACATTTTAACAAGATGCGCTGTCGGAAATCCAGACTGAAATTAAAACTGGATTAGACTTCATGGTTTTTCATCTGTGGACGGTGGTTCGTGACGGGGACGGAGTTACGAATTTCCTACCACCCATTTAAGAACCAGATTTCGAGATGAACACCAACATGTTTCAGAAAATTATAAATTGATTACAAAAATGTCGCTCGCTGATTATTAGCCATACAAAGTTACTAATATACCAACGGGTACATCAACTATAATAATAATAGATTTTTCGTTTGTAAAATGCGATCATACTGAGATGAAACTAAGTTCAAAGTGAGCTTTGATACAAAGTTGAATATCATAAATCATTCCCGATTCCATTTAGGAACCCACCCGTATACGGGACAATACACAAAAGAATCTTAATCTAATTGTATGCATAAGATCCTCTGAATGTTTTTTACCTTTTACGAACTGCGAAGTAGGGTTATACAATTTACTCTGACCGCGAGCAAGGTTCGCAAAAAAGTTTTATTGCGTGTTTTCCTTATAGCCTGATTTATTGATATTCGGTTGTTTCAAGAAAAGCCAGTTAACCGTTTGAATTTTACGCGAGTAGTACACATTTAAATAAAACACTAGAACGGTTTAAAACGCGATATATATTAGTTAAACTTTTTTGAAACGTTGGACCGCAGTGAAAATAATCTTCAAATAAGATTAACTAGTATATATCGTATACATAAAACAATTTAAGTTTATTTAACACAAGTTATATTATTCTCGGTCAAAACGAGAACAAATAGTTAAACGAGTGTACAGAAAACAGTAGTAAATATTATTGTTAAACTATAAATAAATAAAAACAGTATTTTTTGTTGGTAAAATATAGTTGGCTATGAGAGCAAGGTATTCATGGATCACAATCAAATTAACAACTGAAAAAGATTTTTTTTGTAACAGATTTTTTATTAAAATGCGTTATTTACGTAGACTACCCCTTTCTCTCTCATAAATATCTGTATAGTTCGAACTTACTTTTCTCGTCACTACTGAGCTTAGAAGACCTCGCTGTTAGATAGTATTGAATTATAAACACCTTACTTTACTCACGGTCAAACTCGAAACATTTGATTTCTCAATAACATATGGACCGAGACGCAAAATTAGAGGTCATTTTAACATCCGTTTGTTGGCCAAACCATTTGTGGAGCTATAATTTAAAATGAATTAAATCTCATTCTTAGAATACACTGATCTACATTCACAAAGATTATTCATGTTATTTGTTATATATCTCTTTTATTTCTTTTTATTTTTCGTAATTTTTATACAACATTCTCATTTTAAGGATTTATCATCTGCCTTTCAATGTTTCCCACAAGTGGGAAATTAGAAAGGGAAACAAGAGTAGAAAAAACGAACAAAGAACAAATTTGGATTTTATTTCTATTTTATGTTTTCTAACGTTCTATATAAAACAAGGCCTCCTCGGTGGATTGAGATAATTTCTGATAAGGCATACGAAATCGTGTCAGATTTAAAACTCTATTTCTTTCTTGGAACTTGATCAGCGAATTGATTTAAATAAAACACTTTACGCGACATATTAACTTATTTACAATTTATTTCATGCAGCATTTCAGCAGTCATGGTCACGGGGGGACTGAAGATGTCCCTCCTGACTAACGTTTACGTTTTTTAACGTTTAAACGTGTAAACGATTTTCATATAATCACATACATACAACATAATAAATGAATTAAATATAATTTGAAACTAGGAATAGCCCCGTTTTTCCTAATCATATGTAACTACTGCACGTACACATTTTGACGAGCCGTTGGTCTTGGTACCAATGTAAGACTAAAAATCAAGGCATCGTGGTTTGATTTGATGAAAACAATGCAATATTATTATTTATGTAGCATATAAATTAATATACTGTTTACCGTATTATGTCTAGTAGTCTTGATCTCTCGTCTCGTTCTCGCATGCTGTAATATCGGTTTGACTAGAGTGTGACGGCTGAATTCCACCGCTGGACTTCCTGTAACAATGATAAATAAACAATTTAATAAGGATGCACGCAGACACGCCGATTTAATAATTATTAAGTAATTATAATAGCATAGCGAGTAAGCGATGACTGAAAGACATATGGGGATTAGATATATTTAAGTTAAATATATTATATTAATTTTAGACACACAAACAGACGATTTAAGTAAGAATAGACCTTTGTAAAAAAATAAGAATACTGGAGCTTGCTTGGAGTTTGGAGCTTGCTTGAATATCGGTTGGTGAAATGATGGTAGATGACATACCCCAGTCGTTTAACATCTAAACAAAATGCACTGTCGACCTATTTCGGCTTTGGACATTCGGAAATTCACAGACTGAAACGCGATTAAACTTGACATTGGTAATTTTCCTGTTAATATTCCCCACACTTCCTCCTTGCTCATTACCACAGACTGGCTACGATAAGGAATAATAACAAAGGTTTAATTAATTCCTATAACATATGTTTACGCCACTGAAATTGGTCGA